ATATTATCGCAAATCATTAGATATCTATTAACGGTTACGCAACAACAACAACTAAATTGATACCGACGATACTCTCAGGCTGATACCGAATGTCCATCGTTGTGGATATTATTCTCATAGCGTATCGTTCATTGCTTATCGCTCGCTCATCGTGTTCGTCGTAGTGCAGGAAGTTGGGGGTCCGCGAAGTGGTCCAGATTTGGTGCAAGGTGAAAGCATCCTTCGCTTCCTTCCAGGGAACAGCTGTCTGAAACTACGTTTAGTATTGTACCGAACGTAGAACTTCAGATATTGTTAATTCTGCTCTGTTATGGATGAGCCGTATTAAATCAGACATCTGTCAAGTAGACCTATTAATACACACGTAAACATTTTTATGCCCATATATTAAAAATAGCTTGGGTTTGAGGCAGCGAAGCGTTTGACCACAACAACGTCTAATAATATATTATATTGTCGTGCAATTTTCGAGTACATCGTCACAATTCTTGAGCAGAAATCATGCTATTCGACAGGCCCACGCGGCCAATGGGGCATCTGTCGGGAAGATTACAGTTGGCCATTTAGTCCGTAATTTCTCTTAAGCTACGTGTAGAAATTTCTCCATTTTCGATGTCTTTCCTTTCCCTTAATATATACGATAGTATCAGCATAATTCGATTGGATTGCCACAATATTAAACCGCGTGTAAGACCCAGCCGTAACAGCCCAGAACATATGTAAACGTCGCAGCTGAAAGGAAAAACAAACTATTCGTATAAACAGGAAGTGCCCTAGTAAAAGTTGGAAGAAGAAACGGAGAGGTGGTTGGGGAGAAAGGCAGACGCGGGAAAAACTATCGGAACAAACTACCGCTACAAGCAAAAAGAAGCTTTACAAAAAGTAGACCAACAACCCCATCGCACATGAATCCCTAGACGCTCTTCCTGTCTGGATCGCTGTTCCGAACGCTAAGCTATCTCCTGTTCGAAGCGTATTGCTGGCAGGAGATCGCCAAATTGACTCTAACGCATGGACACCGCTACTCATCGTCGATACGAATGATATAAATGAGTAGCAACGTCGAATAGAGTGACGCAATAATGAACAAACCTGAGCTCACTTTTATGGAGCCCACAGCAGAGCCTCTCGCCGGGGCCGGGCGAAGCCACACGAACTGGGTGTGATGGTACAAATTGGTAGAAAATATAACAATATTATTATTATTCATTTTGACCCATTCAGAGCCAGTTAGCGGAACAGTATTCGTCAACCGTGGGATCGATTAGCCGCACGGTGCATCGGTTGATTCTTTCACTCTAAGTGATCGCGTTGAGCGTCGAATACCTAAGCGTTAGATGGTAGGGTTGGTCAAAAGCGGTAGACGCGGACGGTAACGGTCACCCGTCGCTGTAGCTAAAAGTCTGTACAAATGCAATTCTTGCCTGTTAATTTTAGTGCTGCTGCTGCTGCTGCTGCTGTTTGACAGAGGTGATACCCTTAGAGTTCCGTGTTCTATAACAGTTATTCACGGATGGCCAGCGGTCAACTTTTCCTGATCGAGCGTCGTAATACGACGGCGCAGTCATCAGTAGTTTACCTAGTAGATTTACGGCCGCTTGACGGTGTGGCCGTACAAATTTGCGTGGTCCTTCGGTGTTGACCGGATATGACCGAAGTAGAATCGCGGCGATTAAACGAGGTGTTTATCTTTGGCTCCGTATTCGTCGCTTAGACATCGTAACCTCATTTAATGATGCTATGAGATGTTATGATCTTATGAAAAAAACAGCCGAATTTACTATTTACGTTCATTTGAAATCGTGAATGGACGCGTTTAGTGCGTTAGTAAAGAGCCAAACCTTATGCTCCATTTATTACCCTATTTACATTATATTATTACTAACTAATTGACGGGTTAACGGGAATGGTAACGGTATCACATAGTAAACACATTGAAACTGGGTCTGACAACAACATTTATTGTGTTACAGAAAATAATTTAAAATAGGTCTGTGCGAATTTAATAAATTTACATTCAAACTGCTATGAGGAGCTGGTTATCGGGCTTTGTCCCGCTTTTTCTGAGTTAGTCGTCTGCAAAATAGAAATTGCGCAATATTACCCAGATGTAACAGTGTCGTGTGGATCTAATAGCTGAGCGTAACTAGCTTCAGGGGGTTACGTTATAGTAATGTATTGGGGTACAGCGTTAACCTAGTTCATGTTCACGCTCAATGCTGCTTAAGGGGGCGATCTTCTACATATTCTATTGGCTTCGACAATATGCCCATAGGTTTCCTTTCAGGCCTAAGTTCTACTCGTTGATACCTATAGTAACCACGGGTCGTTTCAATTAGTAAGTTGCGCAAAATGCATTGTATCGATAGGAAGCACTCAAGTTTGTCAAAAGTTAGCGTTCTTAAATGTTGTATACTGCAATCTGAGCGTAGTGTGGATTCGTGACCCAGTGCATAAAGGCCACCTCTATTAAAGCTATGTTATCCTATAAAATATATAATTATCGAATTTCCGTTCGAGCGTAGGTAAATGTCTCCGGAGCTAATATGCTTTCTATGTAAATACGTGTAGCGGTCATACTCGCTAGCTCTTGGTTAACTCCCTCGCAAACTATACACAATGAACCATGGCCGTTCCGACACGTTCACTTATCGTCGAGTTTGACGAGAAATCCAGAACGCTCAGGTAACGAACTGATGTTTCATAGAAAAGCTCCATCAGTCCATTTCAGTTCTACGCGAGAACTTTTCCTCAATATATCCGTATGCACGAGACGGAAACTTTTTTTTTTTATTGTTATAACCCTTCCAACGGGGTATGTACGTTATGACCATCCAGATAATGATACAGTTTCAATTGCTATGAAGCTGAATGGCAAAGTGTCAATAAGAAACGCCATCGATTGTTGAGAACTCCTAACTAATTAGACTTCTTCATTAAAGTGCCGTTTCGTGACTGTAAAATCAGCATTTCATCACAAAATGAAGAACCGCTCGTAGGAGTGATAGCGAATGTTTCGTTCACAACTCTCTGCGCATAGCTATGCCCAGAGGCATTGCATCGATTTCTTACAAACCGCCTGTTACCGTGCGGCCATTGTAGTGCCGAAATTCTGAATTTTATCTACCACTGATTCTGTTATACGAAGCGCCGCCCCTCCGGTTATCATTGCTTCAGTCGATGAATGGCCGCTAAAGAGCGATACAGGTAGACGTTACGCCATATCAGTCTTTTTATATGATTCACTCCGAACGGCGTCGTGTTATCAATACTGACAGAAGACAGCTATTTGTCTGGTATCTATTATATATGTCAAAGAAATTAAGTAAACGCGCCTGGCTATTCGTTAGACTGCTTACATCAACGAAATTTAACGTCGTCAAGGTTTTTTTTTAAATACAATACAGTCAAATAGGAAAAAGTTACTGAGCAATGCCGACAGTCAGCTGCCGCAACCGAACATTCGAGACTTTGTGGAAGATGAGTTATCATCTAGGAGAAACAGATGTTCGGGAAACATTTGCCATGCTAGATCCAAACAATGTTTAGACCTCAACACACGCCATACCAACAACACTGATCAATACATTGGTTTACATAGAATTAATACGTGGATGCTGATTCGTCACCGCCACGCCTACTTTTTGGGTGAAGTGGGCCTCTTCAGCGTATCGTATGCGTCTGTTTTGTCTAGTCTGCGTGAATCATCTGTGCCGATTGCAAGAGGTATTCGACTCGAAAGGTGCTATGGCACCGCAATGACATTACCTGTGGGGCAAACCAAAGCGGATACTCCCTCGCTTGAGATCGCAAGTGGCCTTTAAGGACCGCTCCACCGACCTGTTCCCCCGAAAACATTTTAATATTCTAACTTTCTACGAATTTTCATTATTTTATCAGTCTCCCAGCGATATGGAGCAGATATTTTGATGTTGGACGTAATTGCTTATATTAAAATTCGATCGTCCGAAAGTCGCCGACATTACGGACGATTTCAATTTAGAGCTGTTCAGATGCTGGCGCCGCAGCATATTCTCGTAGTTCTGTTTCTATTAACAGGCACTTTTGATGTCAAACGCTCAGTATAGCCTATAAGTTGAAAAAGAGTCACTGTAATTTTTAGTAAAGTCGAAATATCAATCAGCGCCTTTGAGCACTCTGGAGTAGAGGACTAATCTCTAGCCACAGCCTGGCGACGAGCAGCGGATTGCTTATCGAGCGTTGTTTTGACTGGCCAGGGTATTATCGCGCACACAACAACGACGACAAACGGCCATTTCCCACTTATTCGAGTAGCGGTTAAATCATTGATTCAAAACGGGCATCGAACGAAAGAGACGGTGTAAATTCCAGCCACGTTAGCGTAAAATTCGACCTTGATCGGCCGGTTCCTATTTATCTAACTAACGTATACAGATTAATATCACATGTTACATTCTTAGGACAGTGTGGATAATCGGTTTCAAACGGATTTAAGCCTGCGCATCTGAAACACGATTTGCTATACACTGTGCTGACATTAGGATATTAACGGATTAAGGCAAAACGTTGCTAGGGCAATGTCATATGATGTACCGTGTGCGCTATATGTTGATTATAGTCTGTTCTTTAGTGTAATATATAGAAAATAATGTACACATTTGTGCAGTATCTACGCTGTAAAACTGAAGGTGCTTGTCTACATGTACACAATTTATAGCCCTGATTGAAGGAGGTCACGGGACACTAACGAATCAAACTAGCATCGATAGTAACAGGCGATTTCATTTTCCTTGCGTAGTATGTGATTTCAACATTTTATTCCGTAGTCGATCATCTCTAAACTAAATCGGAATGTTTGGGCGTTAAATGTATGTTGTCAGAGTAGTCCAGTAAATGGCCGAGTTGGTGGTGTGATTAACCACAATTGCATTGGACTTCTCCCAAATTGGTGGTATCGCAATAAGTAATGTAATAGACTTCATCTCTGACGCGTTTATTTTCTATTTTCTGCTCTACAGGTCCACACGTGTCTGGTACAGCTTCGTAATAGTCTGAGGGACTGCCACAGCACACGGCTTTAAAGGATTTTACGACGAAAAAAAGCTCGAGTCTAGCCTCGTTAACGCCAACGTGTTAACGTTTGTGTATAGATTATCAGCCATCATCTGACAGCACAAAATCATCGCATCAGCCTAACAATACGCTGTCAACCAGGAACATTGTGATCGCCTACGTTATCAGTAGTCATCTATCATTTCAACGTCGTGTGAAGACCAACCATGCAGAATAGTGCTTTTTCTCGACAGCAACGCCAAGAACGTCTCGGCTCGATTCCAGAGATTCCACAATCAGCACAGCGCCGACTAAAGTCCCAGGCGCCACCTCCGCCAAAATTGACATCGATGAACGCCTCAACGTCGTCGTTCGTTGTGAAGCGTCCGACAACTTCGGCGTCATCGTTGTCGTTGGCAGCTTCTTCGACAGTCTCACCATCGTTGGACGCGGCCACGCCCTTAACGAGTCACATGGCCCCGTCTTGTGCAGGATTGCCCTCGCTAGGCGCTGGTGCCGTTCCAAAGAAACGTCCTGCGCCGAAACGACCCCAGAGCGACGACGGCGGCAGCGATGCGCCGTCTGAATCATCAGGACACCGCTCCGTCACAGTGACGTTGAAACGACAACAGAATTCACCGCTGGGCTTCTCGATTCGCGGTGGCCGTGAGCATGGTACCGGCGTGTATGTCAGTCAAATAGATCCCAACTCGGAGGCTGAAGCTGCTGGCATTAAGGCCGGGGACCAGATACTAAAGGTAAACGGATTTCCAGTTGACCAATTCGTGCATGCCGAGGTGTGTATGATGCTTAAACAGAACAATGTTGTTACGCTCAAGCTCAGCGGGACGGGCATGCTGCCCGTAAAGGATCGCGGGGATGTTGTTCTCAAGCCTGTTGCAAATGTGGATACTTCGCCAAAATCGAGCATTCCCTTGCCACCGGCGGAGCCAGACTTCGCAAAGAATCCTCCGGTGGTACCTCCCGCGCCCATACCACCCGCACCTCCAGCACCGCCGAATACCATGAGGCCGATTCCTCCCCCCATGCCGACGCATATGTTCGTGTCCGAATTACACTCTGTCGCTCAGCAATTGCGCAAACTGCAAATTACCAAAGATATCGCCCTTGAGAATCCGCTACTGAAACAGGTGGCCATCAACCAACAACAACATGACAAACTGATGTCCGAATTCAAGGAAGCGCACCGTAAGATGTTTGGACAGGGCGATCGTTTTCCAGACGATTTCAGCGATACGGATCGAACGATCGAGCGTCAGAAAACTGAACGCACGGAGGTTCTCTGCATGAAGAATGGCGAGTCTGGTACGGGTTCAAATCTGCGTTCAGCGGCGTCCACGTCCAGTATACTTTCGCTCAAGACGGATAGTGGGCGAGGTAGCGCTTCACCGTTCGGAAGCGCGTCAAGCAGTCCTGCATCTTCGATCGTCGATTCGGTGACCGAGAGCAGCAGATCAGACCAAGGTGCCGAAGAAAAAGCCAAATCGAGTTCACCGTTTGGCGTACAACTAAAGAGCCTACGTCGTGAATCTTCCAACATCGAATTATGTACAGCAAGTAAGATCGAGGCGAAAACACCCCTTCGGCGGGAACAATCTAGTCTCGAACTGAGCTCACTGAGGCAATGTGTCCTTCCTCAAAAGATTCAAGAGTCGAATCTGTCCGCGGTCGCCGAGGAGCCTGTGCCTAAACCAAAAAAGGCTATGACGCCAACGGCCGTTGCCAAAAATAACGAGCCTTTGAGGAACACCCAGAGTGTACCATTAGTGCAAGCATCACCGTTTGGGACCTTCCGAAGAGAGTCAGCGATGCATTTAGAAAAGCAGTTAATTGTACAGGATAAAAACATTAGACGCGAGAGTTCGTCTTATATAATTCCGAAAAAAGAGTTCGAAAAAGCCGCCGAATTTAAGCGGGATTTTGGATCGAACACTTTGGATATTCACGGTTTCGAAACAATTCCTGAAAACTCATTCGTTAACAATCGTACAGGCCGGACAGAGGTAATCTTTATTCGAAACTCTCGTGAGAACGGTCGTGACATCGAGACTAGTTCAGTAATTTCAAGTGACGAGGGGTCTACCTACTCGGGGTCGTCCGGCTGTGGTGAACTTGTCGGGCGGCTTCGGCGTCAGTTCGAAGACCCTGGGAGTGATAGCGATAGCTCAGGTTCTGCGGGTAGCAAGGGGCCAGGACTGTTTTCCAAACGAACCCTAGGCCCTGTAACAAGTGGTGCTGGAGGAAAGATCACTGTGAGCATTGGTGTAGCGGCCTTGCCTAAGAACGCTTGTTGACCGCGTGCACAACGCGCTCAAGGAGTCCAAACCCCAAAGCGTCGAGTGCAAGCAGATTGTCGAAACGAAGCCAGATAGAAGCGACTACCGGAAACCTTTTCAGCTTTAGTTCTACTTCGCCGTCTTTTTACGTAAAGCTCATTGGTCTTTCCATCGTCTTCCATACATTGAGCCTTCCGCTTCGCGGATCATCGGCAGGTTCCAAGGCGGCGGCCAAGCGTCAAAACGAGCAAAGTCTTTAGCTGATACCTACATATATATATATAAACATTACATATATTTCTATTTTTTTAAACAAACCAAACAACCGTCCTAACCTTTTACCGAGCGAAAGCTTATGGTACGGAAACAGGGTAGAAATTTAACAATGCCCTGCAGTGTTATATAGTTGTTATATAGCGAGACAGACAAGCTGAAGCTGAAGCTGTTGTAATAATAACAACCGCTGAAAGAAGATGTGTCGGATACAAATTAGTGGCAACACGACAGGATGAGCGGCGGTTTATTGATGCGACGCTGATAAAATTCGACAGCTCCACTAAATTCGCTGTTACTGCCCGAAACAATGCGTCACGAGCCACACGCCAAAGACCGAAAGCCGCAAAAGGATTCTTCCGGCCCGTCCATCCATCCATCCATCCATCCATCCGTCAAGTGCTCAACAAGGTAGCCAGCGCTCCACTGTCCAAAGTAAAATTCTGCCTGATGAAAGCCGTACATCATTCAATCAGCCACGGCTATTGGTGCTCCTACTACCGCTGCTGTTGGCTAAACCCCGTTTGTAACGCTGTCGCAACGAGCGCTGCTACTCCAGTCACTATCTGTTCAGCGTTAAGTCTGTTGTTCGAGCGGCCAGTGGTGCGTTTTGCCTCTCGCTAGGGGTTCTATGACTCCGGGGCTGACCAGCGCAAACGGAACGGACGTAACCGATATGTACTTTTTCGTCTCTGGGGTCTGTTTTTCATCCTTTACGTCGGATTATTAAGCCGTTAAGCATGACTTCAGACGGCTGCGTCCCAGCACGAAACAAAGGTGTGTCTGCGCCCACACTCGAACCTAAACCACCACGTGTAAATTTAGCAGGCAAACACGCGATCCGCTGCGCTACGACGCGGACCGTCTCCGAAGCCCGTCACATCCTCGGGCTGTCGATCTTGCTGCGATCGTTATCGGTGTTACTGCTCCTAGCTGGCCGAACTGTTCTATCGTGAGCGGAGTGCCACCACAGCTAAAGAACCCTTGAACGCTGCTCTATCACGCAGGATCTGCCACGTCCATCTGTAGATAGTTGGGCAGTTTAGCTGACTAGTTCAGGTCGTTTGCCTTTGCCTATGCTGCAGTTAAAACGCTAAGCGGCGCCGGTAGCGCTAGTGATGACGGTAAAGCCGGGTACTTCAGCTCGCGATCGGACGTGAGCTCTACCGTCTCTCGACCGATTCCCGTAGTCATGTCATTCTATACAAACTGTTACTTTGCTACGCTGGGAACTGCTCTGCTGGTAACGAGACTAGTTATTGCTTAACTATTGCAATAACAGTGAATCCTTCGCCTGGCCACGTTCGCTTTCTATGGGCCGAATTTGGGCAGGATCGGGCAGTAGGCTTCACAGCAGCGTTGTGGATGTGGGCGCTGTGCGAGCACAATGATTCGCTGCTCAAAATGTTAGCGATAGACAACAGTTTAACTTAAACAACTGACACTTTCAGTAATAAGAATACTTTCTATAGCAACAGCTGAAGCGGCAGCAGGAAGCCACATCATCGGGGATCACAACAAGCGTAGAAACGCCATGCTACAGTAGAGATATCTTGGCACGGATTAGCTACAATGTAATCGCCCAAGCACGCAAGCTTCATCCGAGCTATCCTTGCAATAGAGATCACAGAAGGAGCGGGTAATAACGAATAAACGCCTGTTCGTAAGGATATCCAAGTGCTGGATAGGGTAACCGGGCTGAAACAATCGTTTTTTACCGCCACTTTATTGTCCGAACTAGAGCAATAATAGCCAGTGCAATTTGACAGAACTTCCGCATATCGACCCCAGCTTCAAAGTGTCTACAATTTCTGCCTGCTTCTCGATCATTGTGCGTGGCGACGCTGCCCGTTCGTTGTTGTCACCAATAATCTTCGATGTCCCTATCGTCGCGACGTTCAACGCTCGCGACTACCGCCAGTGGATTTCCCGTTTTACTTCACGTTGTTCATTCCCGCCGTAACCCTCGTTTGCCCCCTTGGACTGTTATCGCATTTCAGACAACGAGAGCGACGGCCGCATGCATGCATGCATGCATGCGTAATGCTTCCATGCAACGGCCTGCAGAAAGGCTTTACTACCTAAGGAATAGCGGTTGTAGGGCACTTCGGACGTTTTGCGCGACAAAAAAAAAAACCCTTTCCTCTTCTGTGCATCCATCCTGTGGTAGAGGCATTGTAAATACTATAAATAAATATATAGATAGATAGATACCGTGCGAAAGATCGAGCAAAAAGACGACCGCATTGATGTACCATTACGAATGACGCATAAAAGTAAGAACGCTGCGAAGCTAGTAGAAAGACTGTGATGAGCTGTATGGGCGTGAAATATTAACGAGAGAACGAGATGTTAATACCAACTATACAGTATATAGCTGATTGGCTTCATTGAGTAATCCGAATGGACATTGTACGAACAAAAGGATTTAAGGATGATTTGTCGGATCGTTTTGAAATACATAAACTATTACATCAACTATAACCTCTACCCCAACGTGTGTTGTTTCCAGTACGAATAAACATGTTGGATAATGGGCATATACGATTTTGGTAGAAATTCAAATATACGATACCATTTGGTTGCTCGGGCACTGATCCTGTGAGTGCAGCAGTATATTTATTAGTTAACGCGTTGCTTCTCGAACCTAATTCGTTGAACCGAAAGGTGTTATCTATTTAGAATTCTATGAGAAACGATATGCAAACTGTATGTAATGCAGGAAAACAGTAAGGACCGTCACCACTCAATCCGCGGTGACAGCACTGAAGTCCAGCGTTGCCCGAGTCCTAAAGAAGCCCGATTTCGATCACGCGTCTTCGTTCTAACAGAGCAAACTAAAATAGCGATCAATGGATATATCCGAAAATGGCTACATATGAAAAATTGCTGTCCTTAAAGCTGTTTTCGAATCGATCCGGCTACGTAAATGTTTTATCCATTCCGTTACACGTACCGGTGGTACGAACGTCCTTGCTTTACGTGTTCAGAGTTTGTCCAGAGATTGTTTTTCAACGGTTTAGCAATTATTTTGTTGCCGAGAGTGACGGCACAGGATGAAGCAAATGGAGCTCGGGGTGAAGTAAGTGGCAGAGGATAAAGCAGGGGAATTGGTTTACCCAAAAACGTCCCATAACCGCGGAATGTTCGATTTTTCGAAACTATGAAAGCAGGGCGCCATGGTAACAATGTATTGTTGATTTTTGCCCACGTTCATGGGGTAACCGAACAAGCTCTATTTCTCCAGCAGGCAATTGGATAAAGCTGCGCAAATGTTACGCATTGATCAGAAATGGCATTTGCCAAACGTCGTAGTAGGCGTCCCCAAGAGCAGTCAGCTGATTGTGGTATTGTGATCATTATTTATGTAGCATTATTTTAACGCTCTGTGAGCTAGCTAATCATCATGTATGGCACCGAGATATTTTAGTATTTCGTGATATCAGGCTATCTAATCCACCATCTTGATCTGGTTGTTCGTATACGATATTTATCAATTAATACACATAGAACAAGTGTGCTGGTTATATTTCGAAATGTAAAGAAGATAGAAATAGCGTATTCTATTTGAAACGCTCAAACCAATCTCATATTATTATAATATCACAAGTAACGATTTTAACTTCCATTAAACGCAAACATGAAAATTAAAAGGGCAAAAAAGCCCGCTCAAAGCGTAGTCATCGATAAGCCGTCACCAATCAAATGATTGTGCCATCCGTAAATTATTATGCTGACTATATATATATATATATAAGAACGTATTGTTGAAACGAGACAAAAGCTCTGAAATATAGCTCTTTCCAAAGAGTACCTCACATAACGCGGACAGTACAAAGTCAAATAGAATGGCGAAGTCGACAGACGCTCACAAACCTTCTCCACACACTTTGCTCACGTTATGATTATTCTGCTTCGGTCTTGTTCGGTTTCTTTTCTTCTATTTCTCGATCGTTCCTGGATCAATGTCACTTAAACTGGCCTGCTCTTCTTCATTCCGCTGGCGAAGTTCCCGCACTGATCATGGTGACGCTGAAGATAACGGCGCAAGTTCTAGTCGAGTTCTTTCGACTTGGCAGCCCAAATGATCACCATCACGTTGATATCTAGCGGAATGAAGATCGGGATGACCGGACGACATCAGCACTTTTTAATCAACATTCAACAGGCAGACTTCGGCATAGAAGGAGGAACTTCTAGCAGCAGCAGCAGCAGCAGCAGCAGCAGTAACTTGCCTTATATTGCTCGGTGTTGTCGCCCGGGAAAAGTCGGGAGTCGTCGTTAGAAGCGGGTGCAGCCAGACGATTCTTTCATAGAATCTCGTGTATGGGGGACGAGTTCCTGTGCCTTTGCGTTTTAGTCATAGAGCCAAGTTCACTGTCCTGTAATTGCGAGATATTTGGCTCTCTGCCGGTTGTCCATTACCCCCGCGAAACACGAACCGAACAAGCGCATACAATATAATTACACGCAATGTGTGAATAAATCAAACGGGACGCCCATGTGACATTACTTGCTATACTTCAATTCGGACTCTACCCCTACGGGGTTATACTCTTTAAAGGGAACTTGTTTAGCACCATCCCAAATGTATTAGGAGTCTTCCGGGGTAAGAGTTTAGACAGGGACCAAACGATGGCTCGTACCGTCGGCAGCAGAGACACGGGAAATGCCTACAGCGATCCCCACTAACGACAACCTATTGACATCTCTTGGAACCCGCCTCGTTTATGTCAACTACGGGTATCGCAGCGATCCTGCTATTCACGAGTGATTGTCACAATGTGGTGAAGATAACTCATCAGAAAAAATATTAAACGACGATAAAGACGATTTTGTAATAAAAGGAATTGGGTTCGTTGCGCTGCATAATTATAATGAAAAGTATTATGCTTTTATGCGAGAGCAACAACAGTCAACTAACTCGTGCGAGGAACGAGCTGTCTCAAGTAATACTTAATAGCTTTAGTACCGCACGTAAAACAGAAGCAATATCAAAATATTTAACAGGAAATAAAGGTCAATCGGCGGTTGATGTTTTGGAGTAAGTTCCAGCGAAATTTGTTGTGCTTCGTGTTTTCCCTTACATTCAAATGATTTTAGTTATAGTTTCGCCTACTGCTATACCGTGTTGTATATTAAATAAGATATTTAATAAATTAGCTGGACCACGCATGCAAATATATATGAAAATGAACTGTACTGCGAAAGCCTAATTTACATACCCAATTATGATTTGAACCATATTTATGGATTTATGACTCAGTATTCCAATAGATTATTTTTATCTACTGCTCTGTAGTAAGTGTTTGCCTCAGCTTTGGCATATGGGTTTCCAACTGTTTTTCTTCAGCATACAAAAACGTACTCTTGAATGAGGGCGAGATGAAGCTTCGAGTGCTCGAGAACTCGGACAGTCCAGCAATAAGGACAAGTTAGGTCGTGAAGGTGACGAGCTGAATTCGACTTTTGATCTATGTCTAAGAGATATCTAATGCTCGGCGGCCATCCTGAAGAACTTATTCACAGTAGTGTAGATTATCTGTACAAATTCACTGGCTCAGTACATTAATTGTGGCATACTGTTTTGCAATATATATATATATATATATATTGCCTTAAACCTAGGCTAGAAAGAGTGTGTCGGAATATAATACAGCCTTGAACATGAGCAGTGGTGTTTTCCTTTTGATTAATCTATTTCTATATTGTAATTAATTATAAGCGTGCTTCATTGTTTCAGGCATATTTTGGTCTTTATAACAATAGACCATTACTGTATAATTGTAAATAGGTCAAATCATGATTGGAACAACCTGTACACAAAAGTAAACATCCACAGTGTCTATAAGAATAAAAAAAAACTCGAAGTAGCGCGACAGTCCGTAAAAGTAAGTAAAAATTAAAGTTTAATTAAATTACTAGTATCCCCTCTTACTGTTAAGCAAAGCACTCGAAGTAGAAGATAATGTTTTCTTATTATTCCATTATTTTGTAGTCAGCAAAAAGCGTACGCAAGTGAAAACGTGCAGTAACTGCTTACACCATACGCAGGGAGCAGGATGAAACAGCTCCTGCATGGAAATTCGAGCATATACGCTATAGAAAATCCTTACCGTAACGGCTTTGCATTGGTATTACGCTTCCACTTGTTAATTAGCATATTATTAGAATAATGTCTAACAGTCGAAGTGTATATGATGGATACTGTAAAGTTTGGCAATTTATATTTAAAAAACTCTTTGTCCCTCTCTGGAAACTTTGGAAAGCGGGCAGAAATTTCCGATTGTATTTTTTGGGTCAAAAAAATTTTTTTATTCTTTATTCTTGCAGAAGCACAAATATAGCCGCATTGAATTTTCTGTATTTACCACGTGTTTGAATATATGTTGTTAGTTTTAATATCGTTATTTACGAAACCATTATTTTTCATTACGCTGAACTAGGTTAATATATGTAAAATCTTGTCGAGGTAGCAAAGCTTTACAAAACCACAACATCAAATGCAGACAAATAATAAACACAAGTTTTTCGATAATGTCCAATGCTATATATATATATATATATATATATTTCTTTTTCTTTTTCAATCAGGGGCATAAGTTAGACTGAGTAAAGTATAGCTAAAGCATAAACTGTGACCGAGGACCCGTCTTAGTTCGAAAATGATATGAAACAACTTTTGACAGAACAGCCCCGAAACTGCAGTAAATCATTCGAGCATAATAGCACTTTTTTAGTAAATAGGATAACTTTAGCTATCGGGCGCTTTCAGAAGTTTTAATCCGTGTTCTTGCGCAAGATAAACGTATCCATATGAAAAAAGCCGCAAAAAGAAGTAACCTGTTCTTTCTCATATAAGCAAGAACCTAATTTTAAAAAAGTCTAAAAAGGAGACCGTGGATGCTACTTTATTTATTGTTTGAGAGAGACTTTCTGGCTTAGGTCTTGCTAGTAGATTCATCTCAGTGGCCGCCGCAAACCCTATATATGATGCATGCATAGCTAGACATCTAGTCAAATAATAGCTACCTAGAACAAGATTCCCTGCTTACCTGCCGGCTGATGAACGATATGACGTGCGGGTATGTTTGTCAGTGACCTAATAGCACTAGCTAGAGCGGAACAACAATGCATGATTCATTCTACTGGTAATAGATCCTCCAGTAGTTTTATGTTAAACAGGTTTTATCTAACGGAACAACCTTTGCACATCAACAATGAGCCAGTTCGTTACAAGCTTCAACGAGACACTAAACACCAGATATACATTACGCACGATGTATGCGTGTCCATTAAGTTTTCCAATTAACACAATATAGGCATAACAGGAATGGGCTTAAGTCAGAACGACTGCAAGTTTATGATCGTTGCACAGATGTGAATACAAATACAGCTGCTTATATTGAAACAGAAACACGAGGAATCGTCAGGATTCTGGCGACAGTAATGCGCGTTTTTTTTTAACAAATGAAATCTGTTATCACTGAGCAAAAGACAGATGCCTGCTAGAGATCACTGTGCGTATCTAAATAGTCGTGGCCCCCTTCGATAGTATTTGATCACAATGGCAGCATCTAGGGCTCACGTATTTGGCGGTGAACGAGCGAGCCATATAAATGGCTCGATCTCCTATTGAAACAACTGCCGGGGTAAACTACTAGTCGTTTTGTATTATTGTTGGCTAATTCTTGCGCGAGTATACGCCAACGATTGTGTCCGAAACGTATACGCATCATAGGAACGTTGCGCGAAGTCTACAGAATATTTCTGAGCTCCCAATGCCCAGAAGTATTCGCACCATTCAAACGAGAACACAATACAACTTTAGAATTTCGATACGACAAAAGCTCTCACTTAGGATGCCTCCTAGATATAGTGTACCATAATTGGACGGTCAACGTATAAGTTGAACGCACAAGTATTATCTCTGCGAGCTCTTCATTGATGAAAAATTACCAGATCATGTTGCTAGCTCACAGAAAGGCTTTGCCAAGCATCTGTGTTCTTACAGCTTAGAGACAAACTTCGCAGTCTTAAAAACTATCCTGTATAAGGTGGGGTAAGGGAATTAGCATGCAGATATTTGTTAGCCAATTCGTCGTTGCATTTCTGTACACGTACATGGTACAGACAGCGGTGGAAACGCGATTTTTCTGACGATGTTCGTGCTTGGGACGTTAAGAGTTATTTTTCCGCACGGCGGTTTGCGTCGATCAGGGCGGAAGACCACGATGCTCAGACGCCGCATCTTCATCGTGACAGAAACCGACAAAGTGGGCGGTAATGGGCGCCCTCGCCAAGCCAGTACTACAATTAACTTTCAAAAACGTGCCCTTGTCTGTAAAAGGCGTCTAACTGACAGCGGTCACAATTGTCAACTACGTGCACGAGCATTAATGAAAAGTACCGATACGGGAGTCGGCCTCTACGCTTGGCCAAAATGCAAATATGTAGCGTATGGACAAGCGGACAGTCTAATTAGAGCTTCTGAAGTAGAAGAAAGATGCAGGAAACGTTTATACATGTATGTTACTTTCACGTAAAATATATAATACAGTGATCTGTATGAATAAAGGATGTTATTATCAGAGTGTACCATCGGACATCACATGCCAAACTTTTAGATAGACTAACAGAATCTCGTTTCGCATGTCCCAAAGAAGCACAGCACACATTAATATAGCGTTGACAAAGATTGTCACCAGTATTTAGTCGGACCTGAATGGGATGTGTCTTAAACAGTTCGTAAATTAATCATGCTTGTACACCGTTGCGATGCTCATTTACAAGCGTACAAACATTAAAAAAAAAAACAGTGAAATAATATTTTTTGCGGCATCGTCCCACTGAATTGATATAAACAAAATCCCGTAACAGTATGATTGTGTTTATAGGCTCCTCGCACGGTTGATTTCATTGCATGCGATGGTGACATCGCAAGACATCGACCATTGCTTTATTTCTGAAGAGCATCGAAAACGAGGTAAAATTCGAGTACTGTTTCGAAAAAATTGAGACTTTCCAGTGAGTCTAAGCACAATGATCTACCACTATTACAGAATACTAGGCTCCGTTTAGCCCATACGAGTCTTCAGTAAGACAGGGCAACTGACTGGCTTTTCCGAAGTAGGTTTGCGGAAACAAAGTGATTTCAGGACGACTCAGGCTCCTGCAAACGGCAGACATGCATTGATAGGTCCAATGGGCATCCAATCAATCAAAGCTATTCTCAAAGCAAAGTGGCGGGTGCGGGTTTAATATGCTAAAAACGATAGTATTTTTATGCGCGTTCAGTGAAATATTACAGATACAGGTATCTTGCATCAGTCGCCGAATGCCGTTGTTGAACTTCATACGAAATGATACTGCTTAATAGCGTTCTTAGGCATCGACTCGGCTGCCTCTAATACCAAAAATAACTGATTTAAACCAATTCAGTACTTCAGAGCGTCGTTTTTGCCTTAACTACCTCATAACGAACACGCTTGAGACGCCTAAACAGAATCTATACCATAAAGTAGGTAGTAAAGGCCACCAAGAGCAAGAAATTGGTGCGCGTATGAACTGTGGAGCAGGATACAGTATCGCTATAAATTGGCTAACCTTAAACAGACCTGATGATATGAGAAAACCTAGGTTCAGAACCGAGGTGTATCCACCTACCTAATTCGGGAGCGAAAGAAGCCAACCATTTGACATGCTGCTAAACAGCTTGTACCAGAAGAGAAATTCAAAATATTTTTTCCAGTTATCTAGCACCTACACACAGTCTTGTCAGCGATACTTTAGTTACGCCTTTACTTGTGGCCGTTGCACAATCGAAGTGGTAAGACACCAAACCGTCCTTAGCGAATAAAGTCTATGTGGATAGCTGATTCAAGATAGCTCAAAGCGCGGGAGCGCTTTAGCGGATGGCTGCAAGGTAACGTTTCACCTACCGCTGACAGCATGGGCTAACCGGTTTAAGAACTTCTCGCAAAATCTAAAATTTAAAAGCCTCATCGGCGGTATGATAATAGGTCATCCCATAAGTAGCCGTCTGAGTGCGTCAATTAGGTTTCTGGTGAACATTTTTTTATATATACCTGCATAAACTAGTGCACGTATAACCTTCTGTCTAGATATATTTAATTTATTAACAAGTTATACGTTAAAAGCACAATGTTGAACAATTGAATGACACACACTTATCCGGATATCAGCATAGTTGACCCGAAAAGTTTGTCTCGTTAAAAGTTAAAAATCCATTTTCACTAGTAACGTCGAAAAATAAAGGCAAATTAAAGTTTTCAAAGACAGTCTCGAGAGAGTGCGGTTTTGCGAGCAGCAAAAAAAAAAGTCGGAAAGCGTCATTTCTAGTTAGTCTGCCGTGCATCTGCTCACTTCGGTTACAGCCCTGTCGCTTATCATTTTGTCAGTCAGTAATCGAAAATACGAGTCATAGACGCAGGCTAATCGATCCTATGGCAGCACAGCCACAGTATTGAACCGATGATGAAGCGTCTGATGTCTATTGGCATCATTTTTTATCAACGGGTTTGAGCGTCAGCAGCCAGCACAAATGTCGATCTAGGACGAAGGACTCAACCAAATACGTGAAGAAGCAAAAAGGCCACAGCGAACCTTGTCCCACTACAAGATCACCATACCACCTCCACTATTCATAGGTATAAATGTGTCCTAAAACAGCGTGTTTTCACCTATCGCGGCAAAGATTGTAGGAAGAACTATATGCCAGAGAACGTACGATGAGTCCGGACTGCAGCCCGGCTTATGAGGGCTTGCTGAGACTACTACGAACCCGAAATATGATTAGTTTCTCCTATTTTAGTCACATAACCAAATAGTCTATTGGTAAATTTATGTTCGATCGTCATTAACCAAAAATTAACCATATAAACCAAATCGAATTATGTCTAGCATAGAACGTAGGTGATGGCTGGAAATTAGGCCGTCTCATTTTTCCACTGGTTCTTCTTGTTGCATACCATCCATAATGGTCATAGGCCTTAAGATAGAACTAGGCGTTTTTTTAAGCAGCCACATTTCTGCATGAACAGCAATTTTGGTAAATACCGGCTTCAGGCCGATTTTGATCGATGCACTCTAATCAACATAATCGATCTTATTTTTTTGTGCTTCACTTCATAAGGTCAGCTTTGAAGATCATCTAGTTGATGCTTATGTTGCATTACTTACAGATATTGACAGATTTTTGGATCCCTATTATACTCTAAATGGGCAGATACCGAAAATCGGTTGAAAAGGAACGGACGCATTGATCTCGTTGACCTGTTAGAGCTGTGTCATACACCGCTGATTTTCCTCTCACTGAGGTCAATAATACATTACTGAGCTCTTCCACGTAAGCTTATGGTTCATCGCGTTCAAGCATGTAGATATTTCGGATAAAACAACAATTAATATCGTGTGTATCAAGAGAGATTAACCGGCTGTTTTTTTTTTTGTTGAAGTAATAAATTAGTGTGTTTGCGCATTATTCCATTAATCGCGTGTGTACGTTAATAATTAATAACTTTTTTTTGTGTTTATGTTGGGTTCAGCAAAGGTCCCACGTACAAACTACTAGAGGACATTGATATAAACACAGTATCAGTTTTTAAAATGAGCCTTCGAGAAAATGTCGACAATGGCTAATAATTGAAAGCTTCAGGGAAAGCTGATCTGTCTCAAAGTTTATGTAAGTTAGCTTTCTCCGACTTGTAAGATATCTGTACCCACCGCAGTGGTGCCACCCACAGTGATGGAATAGGGCAAAGAAATAAACCGTAATTCGCGCAAAAAGAAACAAATGTTCCTACGGTTGACATTAAAACCAATTTGCAGCTTGCATACTAACTCGACTTTCTTAGTCTTAGCAATAACAATTGGCTGATAATTTAGGCCACCTTGAAAAAGGAACAGTCCAGCCTAGCACAGGTACGTTAACCAAATCCCAAGTCCTAGAGCTTCATAGCCGCGAAAAAACAAATCGTCTTCAAAATATGTTATTTTGCATACTTCACTTGACAATAATACGCGTTTACCTATTGAGAGAAGCCCTTAGAATCGAAAATATATATTTCTCTAATGATACTTCACGTTCGAATATCTATAATTTATAAAAAAAAAAACCTTAGCTAAACATATCGACATTACCAGCTAGATAATATCGAAACACATGAATTTATATTTTGTTTTTTTTTTAAATATTTGTATTTTTCTATCATATAGTGTTCAGTATTTCGTCGTATCGTGAATTACGGGTACCGGATCGATCTGTTCTATGCATACGCTTCTTCAACATAAAAATCTTTCGTTGCTCACTGGAAATTGCTAAAAGTTACAGGTTCACATGGTTGTGATATAGCGTAAATGTATTACGATCAATGCATTATATAACAGTAAACATTGTTTCTTCACTGATTAAACACAACAGAGCTGGTCACCCATTGTCAAGATCTGTGTTTTTTCCTCTATAACGGTGATAGAACTGTAAACAACTCGGATAGAGCCGAATATCGGTGCAACTATTGAGTGAAGTTTACGATTTATTCATTGAAACAAAACTATTTAAACTTAAAATTATTATTATCTGACCACAGCTATAGATACAGGGTCCAGAAATGAAAAAAGGCCAACAAATCAAACCAATTGATTGCTATAGAAGAGTTAACCTATAGTATCTTATCGAAAATTAAAGAATCGTGTAAAACATCGCACAACTAAATTTACCGGAACAGAAATAGACTAGCAGGTGCTTTGTCCCGAAGAAAGGACAGGGTCAGCAACAAGAGTTGTACGACACGCCTATTTTTGTTTGTCGGTAACTTTATCTGTTGTAGGTTAGTTAGGCGTCACTATTTCGAAGATGGATCCATCGGCACCGTCATCGTCCGCAATCTAGAACGTGTGTCTCATCATCAAAATAAATCGAGTCTTACTTGGAAATATAATATAACGATATTATAGGCGATAATAGTCACGAACGTCGTGCCGAAATGCAGTACAACAATCAGCTATACAGAAAAACAGATGGTTATACAGTTTCGCTCTGTGATTTGACATGTATCAGATTATGTATACAGATAATGATCGCAATAAAGCGACAGTCAAAACACATAGATCCGAGAGTTATTCTATACTGAATAGATATTCCTTGCTCAGTATGAATATCGCTCTGAATTTAAGAGGTTTACAACACATCAGAGTATTCGAAACTCAAAAAATTCCGGTACATCCTTCATTGGACTACGGTTGTTACCATTCTGTTATGATCCGTTGGAAACCAATCGATGACATTACCCTCTGGCCAAAACATATACAGTAAATACTGGCCGCCTCTATCCGTTTGTCAAAACGACAATCACTTTGTTGACATGAGAACGTTACAACAAGAAGTAGAGTCTTCAAAAAGACTGTCCAGTTGCTTTTTAATGTAACAACGCGACGAGATCATGAACGGAGTATTGGTTCTGTCGGATTCATGATGGCCAAACTCGGCGAATGATTAAGGAAGCTAGGTACTATCTGCATCCTCCGCGCTCATTACTTATAAGCATAACCATTATCAAATTGGAAAGAGTAAGCGTTGTAAGGCTACGTAAATTTTTTGCGCACATAACAATATTAAAGTGTTTTTGACAATCTGTTCCGTAATAATAGCAGCGACAACGTTTTTTTTTTATTGTTTTTATTGGTTATATTAGCTGCTTTTTTAATTTCACTAGGGGTTTTTTTACCGATATGTTCCTTTACCGAACCTTATAGGCAATGTCTTGTGCCTATTTAGGGATGTTGACGATAGTTTGAGTTCGGCGTTCAGCAAAAATCAGTGTTCAGCCACGGGCAACGCTTTACAGCGCTTGCCTCTTGTTGATACAGACGGCGTTCGCTGTGACGCCCGTTAAAACGGCACCAGCTACATTCATACAGAGAGAAAAGATCGTCTAGAAAAAATGCGTTCAAAGAATCATCCAGCGGCAGATGAATAGGATACATCATTAGTAAGATTAATGTGTGGAGTCACAACATGACATTATGTCACAGTATAGCTTAAAATTCACAAAGAACGAGCATCCGTAAGGAATATCCCGCCGTGTACGACTATAGGCGGTATACGAAACAGCACAGCCGTCTATTCGTCGGCCCCGGCTTGAATTAGTATGGAGAACAGACAGAGAGAAGGTTAAAGCAGAGAGGTTTCCGGTCTGGCATTGATCGATATTACAGGAAAAGCACGAATTTCGAGACGAGAAGCTGACGAAAGTGGAGGTAGACCTTCTGCGCTTCAAAGTTTGCCGTTAGCTCGTCGAGCACCGTCAAGCATGTCGTAAGTTTATTAACGCCTGTTCTTACTGCAAACTTAGACTCAAACTAAAATTATCGACGTTCTTTCTTATCAGTTCAGTATGTTCTAGAATATATATATATATATATATATATATATTGCTCTAAGGTTTTTTGTGGACAGCAGAAAGTAAGCTAAGTTTTCCTGATGGAGACTTTTGCACGTTTTAACTCTCGTGTTATCTCTCGAAACATCGTTGAGCAACATTTGTCTACCCAAGCGTCCTGTTCAGGTCTACCTAGACGGAGTACCTCATTACGCACAAGATGAATAGTTTCCAATAGGAATATTTGCTCTAGTTAGTCAAAACACTCGATCGGTGTTCGCGCAGGTTTGAAACAAGTGACGCTGTGTACTTCTTGGTTAGATATAAGGAATTCCTGTGATTTTTAACGAAACGTATCAGTGAGCTACATGAGCGGTTTTCGGTAAGTTTGCAGACAGTTACGTTTGGACAACAGCTTCGTGAACGTTCTTGCAAATGGATATTAATCCTTTAACTATACGCTGCATAAGTTGTTGCATTGAGATCTTTATTTTAAAGTTTAAGTTGTTGGTCTGTTCAGTATGGAATTTTACCGGAATCAGTGCCTCATGAATCTATTTGAAACTTCCATAATACAGCCTTTTCGTGTTAAATGAGCGCCAAATACATAAAGCTCAACGCCTATGTAAGTTAGCTAACGGCAGGATTTGTAAGTTTTAGGGTTAGCGGAAATGCCGAACAAATGTGTCCAATTTGCAAAGGAACCTTTCTCAATACGAAGGATTATCGTAAACACTATGATCAGTTTAGTTGTTGGTGGAACTCATCTCTTCGCCTGAAAATGGTGGGGTTGATGAAAGAAAACTATAGACGGCATCGGCAACAAACGCTCACGTCATCGAAGCCTAGTACCTACCGGGAAAGCTCTTCAAAGTATTTGGCCGCGGAAAGCTCCTTACCGACTAATCGAAGCTCTGAACGAGCGACTGCGTATAATCATCAGACCTTTCACAGTTTACCAGTCAGCGAATCGGACGAAAATAATTGGTTTATGTCAGTACCAATTTCAAACATTACATCGATCAAAGGTGCGATTCAGAGTCGTGTCGTTCGGCAGAGGCGATCAGAGTACTTTGCTCAGTTGTCTCCACCAACCTATCGAAACAGCGTGAATAGCGGCCACGTAGTCGGACAATCCAAGGAGGCAACCGTCGGCCCCGGTTGCACGTATTCGTCTCAAGGGCTGCTTTCGTTCGAAGCTTGTCAGAAACAACAGCGGAAATCAACACGTACATATGCCGAATTGCCGTATCAGAACTCCAACGCTAATTACGGTTGGGTGAGCAATGAGCAGTGGGACTGCTCCAACAGTCTACCTGGTGCGCGGCAACTGGCATTACAGAACGACGCCGGCCGGATCGAAACTAATGAACGGTGCGTGAACATACACTCAGCCACTTCGAGCAGATATCCAGATCTGCTGCGGGAGAAGTCGATTGTCAGTGACCAGTCGAACGCCTACAAGCCTATGATCGATGGCGAGCTTTCCGAGCGATCAGACAGAGCTTACGCAGAACAACACGCACATCAATCACAAAGTCAGGAAGAAAGTCTCCGTGTGGATGGGAACAGTTTAAACATCAATTGTCTTTCACAAATCTATCAAGGGTCAGGCGAACCTTCAATGTGTATGCCTAACGGAAAAGACAAAAACTCGGTCGAGTCGTTGTTTCACGATTGGAAAAGCAAAATGGACTGGCAAAGTCTCCTAGCTACCGACCATAACGAGGTGCAGCAACGTTTACTAGAAAGCGCCTCTAATGACACTTCAAACTATCAGGAGTATTTGTCAACGTCAGCCAACGTAATGCAACCAATGCGTCGCCGTAGGGCTTCGTTTGGATTATGCGATGCGCTCGACCTTACGCGGAATCCGCCAGTACCTAACGAAGCTAACTATAATACTACAAGCCTTATTTTCCAGTAACGATCTCACGAAAAACTGTCTTGCATAACTTGTTAGATTATTAATATTTTTGCCGTCTCAATGCTACCGTCGTCGTGACGCTATCGTTAACGTGGCAAGATAAAGTCGTTAAAAGTTTAGTAACATCCCAAACCGGGGGAAATACGTAGAAAAATTAGAATAGGATACCGCTCTATGTTCTCCATGCAATAGAAGATCGTTGACAATAAATAGATACCGACTTCTACTTAACTAGCGCACCCCTAGGGCGCTTCGGGGGTGGCTTCCCGTAGACAACAACCTATATTGAGAATTGAATCAACATGAACGTGTCACCTTAACATTGTGCTTGAGATACATATACACATATATATTGTAAATTCTGCACGAAGAATTTTGTAGAGTTATTTCGTTGCGTTTAAACACGCGTGTCTAAACAAAGATAGCCGTAAGTTAAATACGTTGCTTTCCAACCTGCTAACTTTAGCTTCTTCGCTCAGACCTTAGGTTAACACATTTTCTTCGACACATTTATTGCGTTTTTGGTGCTCGTCGTCAGTGATACGTCATGGAAGAAGTTGAGAAAGTTATAGCTGGTATTTTTATGTATTTTCAAAACTATAGCCATGTGTAAAAAGTATGGTAATGGTCAAAGAACAACGATCTTAGCAGGGAACAACAACATCACCTAGTGTTTTTTTTATCGTTGCAATTATTACACAGCATAATTATGCCGTATCAATGGATTATGTCTTACTTTTATATTACTCTATACAATTACAATGTCCTAAAAACACGAAAAAGTTCTATGCCATAACGTAAGAAAACAAACCGAAATCATAAGATTTTTATTCGAAAATTCCTTTTTTTACATTTTTAGCCACCGGGTAATGGCTTGAAAAATCAATAAGAATTGTTGTAGTAATAGTTGCATTATGTACACATTATATGTATATACATAACATACTATTTTACGTACTCAAATGGTTTCGTTTGATCTTCATAGTGCCTGTTTGCCTACTTCAATAACGTTGTTTACTAATAATAATGTAGGACAAAAACGTTACGTATATATCAGCTGTCTCGTCATTTAACCATAGGTTATGTTGCACAGATACGAACAAATGGTTACAAACCCGAAAGTATAAATACTGACCGTTTCGGCTAGCCGTTCCCGGAAATGTTTAGAATTTTATACAACTCCGTTCCGCCGGAAAAACGAATCAAGTGTTAATTATTGAAAAGTATCTATTTTTTTTTGTTAGTAGTAGCTGATTCTATATGAGGTACCTAAATGAGGCTGACTACCGCCCAATCCAGAACCTATAACAACGTCGACTGGGTCTGATATGCAATAAGGCCTTATCGTCATACTTTTATATTGTCCTTTTAAGATATATATCTATTTACGAAAAGTAAATACAGGAGCAGTAATAGAACATTATATTTACACGTACGTATATTCATGCATATAAGAGACATGTAATTATCGGTGCACGTATGTAACCCGTAACAGCCAAACTAATTCGCATTGTAAAAGGGAATTAGATCAAATTGGTCTTCTTTTTTTCTAAAGAAGTTCTTCAGCATGTACGAAAGTGTCCCGTAGAATTTTAGTTGATAGACCAAAGCTGAATTGGTTTTTAGGAGACTTTTCACAAAGTACCGCTAACCCAAAACATATCCGAGATAGAAAAAGCAATCGCACTCTGATCACAACTCTGTGTGTGTCCTAAAAGGTGTCCTAAAAGGTGAGTGCTGTTTTTCTAATGTGCCAGCAATCATTCGTTCTACTTCTGTCAGCTCACCGAAAGCCAGTGCCTGCTATTATCAAGAAGGACCATCGAGTAACATTCGTCGGCAAGATAATGAGAGAATGTAAAAAGGCTATTCGAAAGGAACAATATGATGACCTTTGCTTTTTTAGTCGTCTCTTGAATACAAGCCTTTCTTCAAGTACAAAGGAATATAGGAGACTCCTTATTCTTAGGACGACATCATTTAGACGGCCCACTCATTGGCCGTAGCGATCATCCTGATGAATAGATTATGGATAATAAAATATAATAATGATCATAGCAAAGTTCCAGCAGTAGGGTCTTGTCAACACATTTCTGCTAACGGCTAGCGATTGTAACCTCATAAATATTCGATGTAGACTGAAAGTTCGTTCCCGGACTCCGGTAGCTTCATTTGTTCTGGTGTCCAGACGTGGCTGAAATTGGGCCTTGAGAACAATTGAAGGCCTCTGAAGGTTTAACATTGATCAATGAAAGCCTTTCTCATTAAAATCACTTTAAAAGCTGATATGTGGTTGGTCGACTTTAGAAGAATTTCAATGTAAAAGTATAAATAACACGATTGTTTTTTACCTTCGATAGGAAGGTAGAGTTCTGGGTTGGGTCCCAAGTATGTACCATTATTTGACAGACGTCACTCGATTTGAATAAGTTGTTAAGATGAGAGCTCTAGCTGGCTTTGCCGCTGATACATCTGTTCGGGAAGAAAACGTATTTTGTACTGCCCTGAGACGGTCTTTAACGGACTGACAGCTTCGATACAAAAATCGTAGGAGTTCCTACATGAATAAATATAATACATCATCTATTTTCAAGCTGGCCCTAGGTCGCTCGAATACAGACTGGCTTGATTTTTAGCTTAACGGCTTTCTGAACATTAGGACTACAAACAACGCAATTTTTTCTTTGTAATAACACAGCAACTACAGTATATATATTTGAACATCTCGTCCAAAGCCTCCTCTGAAATAAAGAACAATTGAAGTATATAAGACAGCAGAAACAACATATTTACATGCCGAACTCAGTTGGACGAGTAACTGAATAACGGCAAGTTACAATTTTAGTACATTGTGCAAACGAGTACACGACGCATATAACTTGAAGAGAACGATTCGCGCTACTTAAACTTTCTATAATAGTCAGACAAAAGAAGAACGAGAAAAAAGTTCCCTTGTCATCGTCTGTAACCTGGAAACGACATATTTATACCTAACCTCTTACCTGATTGACGTTTACCGAGAATTAACTAGGCTAACACAGAATAACGGTCATGACACGGATGCTGATTCGGTGAGTTAAATATCGATTCGGGTTCGGAGATTAGTTCAGTGGCCCGTATCTGCTGTAATATTGACATTGCCATTGACTACAGATTTTTCAACAGCCCAATCTGGGAAAGCGTCTAACGAATAGATGAGTTTTCCTAACGTGTTGAGAGAGACCAACATCGTGCAGATTGCGGTAAGCTTCACGATGAGACCTGGTAACAGCTGTAAGTAAAATAACATCACCAAGTTATATGAATTATAGATTGCTACGTACGTAATATTAAACATTTTGGCCTCTATTTCAATGTTCCTATACTTCAAAGGCCTATTATATACTAAAGGAGTTTAACGACACGGTTCAGTTCTGGCAACTGTATTCGGCTTTCAGCCTTTATTCAGAGAACCAATTTTTACCTTATTTTCCACAATTAGTCTCAGTCATAATGATACAAATATTTACATAGAACGCTTTACCGATAAGATTATGTCTAGAACTTAAGCGTATTCGATGAATGATGAATGGAACGCTTATGTCCCATATGGCATAAAAAATGGGCTTTGAAATTCTTCCAATTATTACGTCGATTAGCAGTCAAGTTCTATTATATGAAGGTGAAGCGCATTTGGGAGGTATGTGTGCGTACCTTAATATCAAACTATTTAAAATTCTCCTTTCTGATTTCACCTTTTTGCCTGTACGCTCTACACCTTTAAATAACGACTTCTGTAGGTCTATTCAAGTACTGCCGTATAGGACTATCCGTGTTTGCCGATGCTCGATGTGTACTTTAGCTCCTTAGCTGATCCTTAGATATTGCCCGACCGAGCCAGTCTCGACAACTGACTCCTGATTCCAATGGATTCCTATCGGTGCATGCCAAACCCAGTTGGCCAAGCTGCCCCGGATCAGGCCCATGCTCTTTATGTGGGAGAACGACCAAAGCGACGAGGAACAGGGATCCGAGTGTTTGTCAACTTTTCATCTTATTGCCCCTTTCCCAGCGGATACCCCCTTCCTCAGGCGGATTCTTTCTGCTCTTGCAACTGCTTGCAATGTGTGTCCCGTTCCTGACGGCGTTCCCGCGGGACAGCAAGGCATCAAGACCGAACGACCAGACGGCTTGGGATTATCCATACATTAATGTTAAGCAAGTGCAACTGGGAGAGGGATGAAGAACGGCGCAGAACAGACAACGACCACCATCTTCAGCATGCACCCACCGATTGGTCCAGCTTGCTCCTAACAGCTGCGAGTCTTGCTTGTTTGTGCAAGGGTTTGTCTTAGCTGTTGGAAATCCAACGCAGGCGCGCTATCTGCCCTTGGAATAGTAGCTGTTGTAGCGATTCTAACCTCTCTTTTTCCTTTTACTCCATCTCCGTGCTTGACCGAATGATTTAGTCGGTGGCTTTTAGTGCGTCTGGCTCTTACTCAACGGCCCATGTCTGCCTAGCCCAATGTGCCTTAGAAGTGCAGATGGCAAGACCCAAGTTGGCCAGCGATATTTGGGAGCGACTAGGACATCTTGGCCTGCTTTCCTAAGACTGAACATTTCAAATTAGTCATACTATTGCTACTGCTGCTATTGCCTCCCTGTTCTGCCGTAAGAGGATAATTGCAAATCTGATGAGATCCGCATCACCGTGGATCACCGTGTACTTTCCCATACTCCATGAAATGTAGGTCTCTATTTGTCGCTGGTCATCAAGAATGTCTTCGCTGGCAACCGCTGATGAGTAAAGCAGCTCGAAAGAGCTAAAAGCGGTCTCCGGCAGGCTCAAACTGGAAAAAGGCCGCTGCGCAGAGGTGACACAGGAGCAATTTTACAGGACGTTTAATCAAAACACGTCCAATGTCACCAAGTAGACCAGATTGTATCATGGCTTTGATTTTCTGACTACTACTTTATATGTATCGGGTTGACCCATAACTCTACCACAGGCCATATCTTTTTGTGGCCAGGCTGACAGACCGCCTAAAGTGTATTGCTTCCAAGTTCCTATTTACGTTAGTAAAAATAGCTTGAAACGAGTTAATATTTCATTTGTATACATTTGTATTTCATTTGTACATATTAAACAATTTAATAAATCCAAATGAAAGGAGTGTACGAGTTCTAGTATTATACAGTAATGAAAAAACATGTACGAAGTACATGTACGAAGCGATTCCGTCCAGTCTCCTTCATATTCCGGTACTCGTTTGCGACGCCATAAAATTTACGTGATACGTGTTTCTCAGTAGCTCTTTGGTCACTCCGTATCGCATCGTTACTGACTTGCAATATCAATTATCCTTAGAATCTTACCATGTCCTTCGTTTTTAGATGAGCGTGAGTAGCAACAATAGCGTTGGCAGGCGTACCAACAGGCAACATGAAGGCATATGAACAAGCGAAAGTCACCGGGATGACGAGGTACAATGGGTTGATTCTTAGATCAGTCGCTAACGAGGCAACGATCGGTAAAAAAATTGTTGCTGTTGCTGAGTTTGTCACGAACTCAGTTAGCATTGCCACGATGGACGAAATTACAAACGCCATCCACGAGGGCCGCAGCAGGTTAAATGCTGCCAAGTGATGACCCATCCAAGCTGAAAGACCTGATTTCTGCAGAAACATACATCCGGCATTATCAGACAGAGGATGAAGGCATAACCATTAGTAAATATGACCAATTAGAAATAAATTAGCGAAGTTAACGGAGAAAAAAAATATTGGATATAGTCGCAAACATGGTTTCTTCCTCAATGTTGTTAGATAACATTAGTTTAGCTGTTGACGTTTCGTAACAAATACACAATAGAGATCGATACGTCTAAGGCACTAACGCGCAGCAGTAACGCCTTCAGATTTAGAATTAGCAAAAATCTATATAGCGCTTTTGAATGAGTAGCAGTTAGCTCTGCAAGACATTTATCAAAGTATAGCTTTTGTAATTCATAATTAAATTAACCATTTTCAATACTGCATCATCTTTAACGGCCCTGATCACAACCGAAACCTAAATATGAATATGTAAATTACCAAAGGCGGTCTAACCTTCGTTGCTTCAGCCATGGCAAAACCGCCACCGCGGAGGAGTATCACTCCCCAGGGCAGACGCTGCTGTATCGTCTGCCATGTAATCAACGGGGGACAAGACCCCACCTCGGAGGGTTTCGAAGGGATCACGAATAACAGCAGAACAATAAACATTGCGCAAGTTGAGTCCTTCGGCCTTCTGGATTTTCCCGTATGTAAATTGCAAATACAAGTGGACAAAGCAACTTATTCCTGATGTTTGATTAATACAGGCATTCGTTTCAGCCCAGAGAGCTGCGAAAACAATAAAACGACTGTAAATAATTTTTATAGAGCTTTCCACAAACAGAGACACATTTATTTCCCCTGTTGTTGTTGTTGTTGTTGTTGTTAAGTTTCACAGTTTGTAAAGTTGATCACAAACATTCAGCTTGCAATTCGTAAGTATTAATATTAACACGCGTAGTTGTACTAACAGATTCTGGTACTGGAACGCATGGGCCCATCCATGCATAAAATGTGGGTCTCTGAACATCCAGAGGAGGATCATACAGACGAACAATGTCAGCACCGCTCCTTCATGAAAGGTTATCGAACCCAGTTCCTCATACTTTTTATTTATTGTTTTCTTAGCTGCATGGCCGTGTGCGTTCAGTCCGGATGGTCTGTAATTATAATCAATGTTTAATAAAATAACAGAAGCTTCTAGGTCTCTTGAAATTCACCGTGTGTTGATTTAATATAATACTGAACTGCTAAGTAATTATATAAATATTGTCACAACAAAGAAATGCATTGAGGAAAGTTAACGTACCTATTCCAGAAATACAATAGCTGAAAGACTCCCCAGACGAGCAGAACGGTACAGACTACGCCCGGTGCCGCAAATATCATCCATGAAGCGTAATCGACAGGGGGAAGTCCATTGTAGTACCTTGACACAAAAAGCAAAACATATTATGAGATCCAGTGTCATTATATACATATATCTAAATATGTATACATGTACTTACTCGTCCATGATAAATTTGAGAATGAGGTTAGGTCCGGCGCTAGTTAACGTTGCTGTTCCGCCAATATTCGCAGCAAAGGCCACGCTGAGGTACAAGCCTTTGGCCAGATGTCGTTCCCTTTGGTGCCGCCGTCGATACTCGGAGTATATATTGTGCTCTGCAAGAATTTCCCTAGAATGCGTAAATGAATAGAACAGGATGAAATGTCTATGCCATGGCGACGACTCTACAGTATAAATATTTGGTAGGAATATGTCCGCCTACAGACATGGCATCTGTTATAAGCTATTTAATCGAAGAACAGAAAGCTAAATCACGCTAGTTGACCGTACTAGAATACGATGCAGGATTTACGACGTATAGGAACTGACTTTTCGGAGCTTCCGTGGCACTGCCGCTTCTCTAACATGGAGGTCTCAGTGGCCTTCTGGCTATACGAAGCTAGTTCTAAATCCTCGGAGGTGGTTCGCCCTCGAGTGCCGAAAATTTCGGTCAAGACGGCGTCGACAATCGGCATCATCATCGCAGTCGTCGAGGTGTTACAGATCCACACCGACAGGAACATTGTGGTAACCATAAATCCCAACATGATCCTGTTTAGCAAACGCAGGTGAGACGATTGGGCCATTGTATTTTCGACGCACAACGTGAAATCCTTACGGTAAAAGTTTACTAACTTAGCTTAGGGAAGGTGCGTTTACATTGGCCGTGCACTAAGCTAAACGCCGGTACTTTCTTTGGTAACATTAGAGCTTTTCGATGTGTAAATGATTCGCGTCTTTCAGAATGCTTGATATACCATTGTACTACTAGAGACATGCCACACTTTTGGCATCAGTAAAACGCGCCATTCGAACTGTGTGGTATGACAGACAACGTTACCTTTGCCTGACCACGAGCCTAAGACCTTAAACGCGTTTCTGCTTACCTGCTTTAGAGGAACGAACGAGCGAATCATGGCAAAGTTCGACATACTTAAAATTGTTGCCACCATTGAATATTAACTTACTCTAAGCACAAAAAAATATGAAAATCAAAGAAGGCAACTGAAACAGTGCCCATCTGTTCTGACTGCTCTGACCACTCAAGTAAATGATTATTAGTTAATTGCTGATATCTATTGAAATTTCTCACGCACCATTTTGGATCAGTTCCTACGCAAAGCATAACCCGAAGTGCGATTCGTCGGTGCAGGCTGCAGTGTTCGATAGCTATGGCCATTATCAAACTTGCCACGAACACCATATTTGTTTCCACCTATGGCACAGTCAACATACGGTGAATAATAAATTAGAAAGATGTTTCTTAAGGCAATGTTACCTCTTTCCCTAAGAAAATTGTGCCCGGAGATCTTGAACGCATCCCACACTCTGACGGCGTTACTTGTGGAGCTGGTAAAAGCACTGCGATATCGAACGCAGTTTAAAGCAACAGCTTATTTAGCAAAAAAAAAAAAACAAATCACTTTTCGAGCTCACGTCAGTCGAGCAGTTCTTCGCAAAGCAGAGGTTCATTAAGGTAAATCTTCACGTAAACTTATTTCCAGTCTAAACCATAACTAACGTCATTTTGCCGAGCTGTCCATATTGTTAGTTAATTTTTTCTTCGAGATATGACAATCGAAGGCTAATGGGACAAACGTCTGCTTTTCCTAACTTTCCTAAACTGAGATCAGTTGGATGTTGGTGCTCAGAGGACTTACACTAACAAATCCCTATATATTCACCGTTTTTCTTCGGCCCCTCGAAGCGTCTTCCACAATTTTCCTCGAAACGAATTGCTAACGCTTCGCGGATGATTGACGATCATGACTAAGCATTTGATAAGATGATGGTTACGCTTAAGCTTGTAAATAATCGTCCTACCACTGCATTGTTTCCCGCCGCATGGCTGTTGTCCAAGCTATGAAGAAATCATAGCTAAAGGGAAGATCGCCTGAATAGACGGTCACACTTCTTCTGTATTATTGCGGTAATCTATATCCGGCAATCGGCTTCTGCCTGATCAGCATTTTTGGAAGGACACAACGTTGTACCATCGCAATTATCTGAAACTCATATCGCTCTGCCGCGTGCAAAGTTACCCTTGGTAGCGCTGCTGTTCCAGTTGAACCTCTGGACGTATGCTGGCAATACATACGGTCTGTTTCTATTGTGCATATTCAATTGGTTAAATAGAAACGTGGCCGCGCTAAATTCCCGTCTTACGTAAGTATGCTAATTGACAGCTTATCGTTTATTCTGTTGCTACGTCCTAGAGATTCATGGAAATCCCGGAACGAGCTGCGTCTGAGCTACGGTTAGAAAACGACGACACTGCGACTTTCCTGTTGACTGACGTATTGTACAAACACTTCGTCGTACGATCAATACGTATTTACTATTATTTATATAATTGCTCCTACAGATAAAGTATTAAGTAGTTTACTTTGTCTAATACTGGACAAAGAGCGATATTTTGGCTGCTTCCACAAAAGACTGTTATAATGGCTGGACGCAATCGTTTGGTCCCTGATCAACATGAACGAGTCGTCAATTGAATTGCTTATTACTATTAATGTTTATCTAGCTTCTCTTCAACTTACAGTTGTTGATAACTGGTCCACAGTAAAGACGTTCGTTAACGAAGTTTTGCATCTTCTGCTATATTTTTTTTATCTATTTTATATAATACGATAGTATTTAAATGTTAAATGTATCGCCGCAGGCAATGTACTATATCATGTAGAGCTTGGCATTAGATCAAAGATGAGCGGCATAAAATTTTACTTATCGATGAACCAGCAATGAACGCTTAATTCTCTTGAGGGTGGCCTCAAAAAACACTAACCAGGTGGATATTACCTCATAATTTGAATCTCAGTGATGTTTTACTCGTTCCACGTATTCACATAGAACTAACAATAGCTAACAGTTACGACAGTACATTAATCAGTGAACTAACCGATTTCCTACACGAAGAAGGTAGGGCTCACCAGGTATTGTTGACACGTTTCATCGGACGAGATGATTCCCAGAGACGGAAATAGAACGACCGGTAACAAGGCCGTAACGGCAAGCGGAAGAGCCTCAGTCATCCAATAGAAGGCCATCAGGACGACCACAAAACCGCACCGGGATTCCTATTACAGACGAAAAGGCCTCATAGTTAGTGAGTCACGATGGACACTGTATGAGAGCAATTCTGCTCATTGCTAGCTGTGTACTGTATATTCCCAATGTTGCAGCTTCGGGATGCGTGTATTATGCGTCGATGATTCTCTGACATCCAATATGGAGTAGATGAAATGGATTCCTATTTTGTAATTCGATGCTCCTTAACCCGGGTTAGAATGCGTACTCAGCTGTAGTTTTGTGACCGCAGGCCATATTTGAGGCTTTATTCCAGGGGTGATTTTGTCCTAAAGGCTAAAATTTGTGGGGTCAGTTTGTATTTGGTGTATGACGAAGGACCTCTAGCATATGTGCGCATTGTCCAGTAGTATTAACAGTAGTTAGGCTGGTCGCTCCTCATTAGGTCTACAGGGGTGACGGAGAGACTCAGCAGAACCGTTTGGTGCTTAACAAAATGCGTATCCATTTACTACGCTCCATTCCAAGCAGCTACGTCGGACAGCTTTCAGAGACACGACGCATAAAGTTTCAAACGCGTGAAGAAACCTGGTATACCCCGTGTTTAATGCCCGGAGTACGACAAGGTTTATGGTGGAGACCTCATGTGCAGTGTGCATCGCTGACAGGACCCGCCAGCCTGGACTTGTAGATATCGGGTAATCGTAGTACCGCTTTTTGGGCCAATGCCGTTTTATCCAGAACTTCGGAGAACAAACAATGTCTTCGTTCCGGAGGAATATCGCGAAAAAGAAAGCCCTTGCCATAATTCTTGATTTTAGGCTAAAATTAGTGAAATTCGTTCACGTCAATAGAATTTTGGGAAACATCTGTTTAAACGACTATGCAAACATTGCATTGATTAAATCCATGTAGTACAATGATGTCGTTATTGGCCGGGTTCGGGTCTGACAGGCACTGCCCAGACTGACACGTCACGTTCGAAAAGTAGATTTTGAGCTAAGTTTAGATAGTGAACTTTGAATTCCGTCGTGGCGCTTACGACCGTGGGTTGATTAAACTACCTGGTAGAGAGACAACGGTCGGACAAGGCGGGCGGAAGCTTTGACACACATTGCAAATAGTCCAGCCTTCGTCTAAGCGTGCGTAAAAAACATCCTTTCTCTACGTTAAATCAGGATAGGGGAGGCCCCATTGCTGCCAAGGGCAAGTTTCGGCTGCAATGTATTACGCAGCAAGCGGCCGTAAGACGTCATTCATTACAAGATAAAATACAGTGTATTGTTTTAATAGCTTTTTGCACAACTTTATCAACCTGCAACGCAATTCAAATTAAATACGTGCTCAATGAAAATGGGATTTATCAGTGTATATCAATGAGCTATGACAGCCTTTCGGCCAGTATAGTAATTGTTAGATAAGAGTAATCGTCTATTTAGTCGGTGTACCGGCTTAACGAAGCCCACGGCAACGATACACACCGTCCCACTTCGGAAAACCCGTATCGACATTGTATATAATCTATTGGTGATTTGTTATCATTTCAATCAAATCACATTGAGCTGGATCGGCCTACCGATGCGACGTACGTGGACGTCTAACGCATATGATATATGCGTAAGACACGCAATGGGAATCCAGTCTGGCTAGTGAACCACGAAGCTTGCAAACTACAAGCACTTACTATGAGAGGCCAGTTGTAAACAAAGTAATCCTTATTTAAGTAATAATTGGATTGATTCAACATGCGTAGGTATAGAACTGGCCTGCTTTTCTGTTTCCTGCCAACTGATCTTTAGTCTTAGATGGATGAAAACGCAGTAAAGCACAACACGAAAATTTGAATTTATATGGAAGCAAAAAGCGTTTTTAGGGGGCTAACAGTTATCTAGCACGAGCATAAGCTAATGACTGTTCATACAATTGTTAGGAAATGGACTCTAGACATGGAGAACTAGTTGTCCTATACGAAACTAGGATAAGTGACAACAGCAGCAAATCTCACTCATTTCATAGAAGGACCTGCAAGCTAAAGCGAGTTCGTTCATTTTTCGAGGATTTCTCGAGCTTACTCCTTCTTATTCTAGTTTGTCGTTCAGGAGGCAGGCGGATCACGACGCCCCAGGATTATGCCCCAGCCTCGATATATTTTTAGCATGTTTTTGGCATTAGCTCTAACATACGCATGGAAATCTCAGTGTACTGGCAGCAAGCTCTTTATATCATCTAATTGTTTAGAAAGGTATATTTTTCAGTGGCAGGCGAATTTGTTTAGTTCTCGAACGACCTTGGATCTGGAATTCCCAAAAGTTTTGCCTTTGCAGTCTTTTCGGATCAGAACTTTTCGGGCACTTCTACGGAAATCGGTATAATATATATTTCTATTAACATAACCGAGTGTCTGACTAAAAGGGCCAAAGTTCGTTATAAATGCGCCGCAGGACCCCTCATTAGGCCAAAAAAGACTTAATAAGCCTATATAATTAATGCAACAAATCGATTTTCTACCTAAAGCTGAGCGTCATGTGGATGGATGCTGAAGCTCATCTAATATTAATTCTGTTTTGTGCCCAAACAAGCTTGGGGTTACAGCTCCCCCACAAGTTACTTGCGTTTCTTTTCGTTGGCCCAGGGCTAGCCTTCAATCTCACATTACAAACAACTCACCTGCTCGAATCGATTTATGTACGTTTTTATGTTTGTCAAAGAGTAGGTCAAGTCTCTTTTGTAGAACACATTATCGTTCTGCCATGTCATCTAGTAGAGCAGATAAACACCGCTAATTAATCTACTATACGCTTTTCGTATAGGATCGCTAATTTTATTGCCTGCCCACACACTGACATCCCTGCAAGGCCCTGCAATGCTGAGCCTAAACAGGGCGCATTAAAAAGATCACCGTCGAAAAGCTGCAATGCTAGATAGATAGTCCGCTAGCGAGTGGTTTAGATCTGTGGAGCGGCTCGGCTAATACGAATGAAAATGAACTATATTTTGAAAAACAGACCAAAAACTTATTCACACACACGAACACTGACGAATTTCAAATGGTAGTGAACGAGGGTTTCATTCATTCATTAGCAACTAATACAATTGGTTTAGTTGGTGCACGAAACATGGCTAAATTTCGTCATTACCTTTAGAAGTCTGCAGAAACTGTGCACAAACTGACTTCCTAAATGGGTCAAAAGTATTTCAAATGAGCCCATTTGTGTTATGTTGACGCCTGTTTCTATAGAAAAGTAATGAACGTTTTCTTTTTGGATATTCTACAAAATGTTTATACTATACGAACGAACAAATTGCAAGATGACTGTGAATGGCCACGCATTCAGGGTGGAACCCCAAACCCGTTGTGTAGAACGCCAGCGTCCTACGAATACGTCAAATTTAACCCATATTGCAGCTTGGACAATTTTAAGCGGAGGCTGTAGCTGACATTTTTCAAATGAGCAATGTAACATCTTGTTTTGCCCTATTTTTTTTTTTGCTTGGAAATCTTGAACTGACTTGGCTGTAATGTTTATTGGTCCTAGAAATGGTTTTGGCCACATTATGTCAAACTTTCTTTAGCCCAACCAAATTCTAGGTCGATGGCCCCGAAAAGCAGAAAACTTTTGCAAAACGAATTGCTCATAACTGGGTAATTATTCTAGATAAAACTGGATTTCGGGCAGCCACTTCTCACAGGTAGCGTGAACTTCGCGTACTACAGCTAAAGTTATCAAAGCCCCTAGTAGTTAAGCCTACAGAGTGATTGAACGATGTTTCAGTTTATCAAGCGAAAGCTCTCTTTCTTGCATTGAGTTCTTGGCTATATGTTTGCATCGAGTTCTACGTGTATTGTCATTACATGTTGTCTCATACTTCAGTCCTAGCGTAATCTTTCGTTATAAATATTTGTTATACAAGCCATCAATCTTTTGTATTAAAGCGCTGAAGAGCTATACAACAGCTAAGCAACAAAGTAGCACTCCGCACTTTAAGACCTCTCAAACGCTACTCAATCAGAGGGAATCAGTAAAGAAAGGGACTGGTCCACTACAATTAGTTGTATCTCATCATACGTATGTAACGAACAGACCGTTGTATTGACAGTCGTCAGTAAAGGTGAAAGCGCCAGTGGGGCAAAGATGATCACACCAGTCTTCCACAGTCGTGCCCATAGCGACGGCTTAGCTATGACCTTGTCAGGTCCTTCCATCCTGAACAGAATTCGTTGCACTCCGTCGGATGAGACTTCCGTTTCGCCGTCGCTAAGCGCACGACCGACGGCTGTCGATTCCGCAGCAGGTATCGATGTTAGCAGGGGCGCACAGGTAACCTCCGAGGTGCACCAATGAACGTCAAAAGCTTCCTCGAGCTCCTCAGTCTCCGACCAGATGGTACGCCTCTGTCGGGACACTCCGAGTCCCGGCCTAGAAGTGCTCCGCTACAATGACCCGACCACAGATACAAATGAGAGAGGGGAAACAAAGAAAGACAATTCGGTAAATTTATGTAGTTTGTCAATCACGGTCAGTAAACTAGAAATACACTCCTGCGTGCTGACTGCAGTGCGGATGGATGACGTAGCGCGGACCACCGCGTCAACAGCGAGAACATAATCATCATAACCATCATCAACTACAATAACCAGTGCACTACCTATGCGAGTGACATCGACCATAATGGTGAGAGCCATCGTTGTCGTTGGCAAGCGGGTAGTAGTTGCTTTACGATATCTTGTGAATCTTGGTCACGCGTCTTCCTTGGCCATCACCGTCGCCAAGGAAACGAAGAAGCGCAAGGGAAAAGAACTCAAAGGGTATTAGCAGCGGCCGACGAACGACTCAATCGGTATCATCAGTCTCATGAGCACAGTAGCAGGTAGATACCGCAATACCAATACGATAAATCCACACCGTGAGTGAAACGCGCATCGATAGAGGGCGCCTCTTGGATGCGAACGTGCTGCGACTTTTGCGTAGTGTCAATGCGATGGCGCCATCTACTGGTACGAGTGAAAGGTTTCTTCGTAGGTTGTGGGATAGGTCGGCTTGGCTGATAAAAACACATGCGGCAGAAACCTACCCAGGATAGTACACGGCCTAACTAAAGCTACAGACGCCTGCTCCATCTTGGCCTAACCTTTCAAATGCAGGAGTTCACGGTACGCCTTGCGCGTTTACTGGTAATGTTCATAGCTCTCATATCGTATATCTACAGGACACTGCTTCGAGCTGATAGCACCGCCTGTCTATCATTTTGTCTGGCTAGCTACCCGGCTCCAACTAGTCGATTCTATAGGCAAAATATTACAGCACGATTGGCAGCTGATAACAGAGATGTTTGTTGCAATTTGGGTCGCTATCTGTACACGTTATCGCATGTCAATTAGACTCTGTTCGCGCGTTTCTTCTCAATAGTTATTATTGTTAGTATCACGAACTGGAACAGGTTTCTATCATATCAGCGCAGTATGGCTATCGACTGTTGGAGACAAATCCTTGCTTCTTTATCTACGAGAGCCTTGTGCATGTTTTTCGCTGAAGCTAAATTGTTTACGAGACAACGGGTCACATGGAAAATAAGAGCCCAATTTCAGCTTATCCAAATATTTGGCGCACAATAATAATCTGATTCATAAATTTATTTTCAATAGCCTATCCGATAATGTGCTATGAAAAAAAAAAATAGAACATTAAAACTTTTTGAACAAATCGGTTATTGAAAGCATACTAGATTTCTAGCTCGAATCGAGCCCAAGTCAAACAAGCTGCTCTGCGTAAATTGGAAATCTCATCGCTGCGCTTCCTATACATTAAACTTTACCTAACTTAATCAAATTATATTAGAAGTTCCTTTATAACAGAATCTAGGATACATAAGAATATCAGTTGTCAGCCGCTTTTTCAAAATATTGTAGATAGCATCCGTAATTTTCAATGACCATATAACTCCCGTTAGTCTGATCTAGAAGCTTTTAAAGGTGGAGGCTGTCCATTTTTGTTCTCAATAACCCTATTGACCGATGAACAATTGATACTTCATTGTAAGTGTTTTTTTGACAGAATGGGGATTTCCTGGGGTCATGGGATCCGCTTTTATTTCTCATATTTACGCATAATGCAGGATCGGGTAAACGAAAAATCCCCTTCAGACAAGATCATTGTCGTCTATTAGTGTCTAAATTTGCTGAAGTTCCTGATCGAAAACTCGGGTCGGTTTCTAGGCGAGTTACCTAGTTTATGCCAAGGCAATTTCCTTGACTGACATGGGTCGTGCTACTGTAAAATGTCTGAGCAACCTAGGATTATCTCGTTCTCCTGCCCGGTAATTTCAGTAAAAACAAGCTAAATAAGTCTTACTTAATCTGTGAATTTGTCTCAGCAAGTAAAACACCACCTATTTTTCTAATACCCAATTATAACGAATAATGGCTGTTACCCTCTTCTCATCCTTCAACTCATTCTATCCGCCCGTTCAATTCCAAGAACAAGAGATCTGTCTTTAGCCTTTGAAAAGTCGGTACTGTCTAGTGTGCATGTTCATTGCAGCGCAGTTTCTCTTTTCCTCTCTTTGCCTTCGAAGCAAAAGACCTCGCCCACACCACAAACTGATAACAGACGCATCTCTGCTATCCCTACCTCAGGAAGGCCATTTCACTGGTGATGTCAACGAAAAACATGCCAGACGATCCGGATAAACCGCAGCTAGAAGATGCCTAGAGGCATAACGTGACAGCATACCAACATCGCTGCATTGCCCGAGCGATTAGTGGAGCAGCCGTGCGATAGAAAAAGTTAGCCATCGACAGATGTTGCCCCCTGTTTTTTCCTCTGTACTTGCCCCGCGAACAAACTCGGCTTTTTCTGGAATCATCCACCGGGCCAGTGGCTTGCGGTACTGACTCCAAAAAAGAAGATATTAGTCTTACCGGTCTCTGCCGGCATGTCTGACTGACATCGTTGCCATGCGGGGCTTTGTCGACACATTCAGAACATCTGCCTCAAGGGCTTCCAGTCCCGGTAAATAGTTGAAGCGGTCAGTAATTGTGTATCCAGCAACAAGAAGTGATTTATTTTATTTGATTGTGTCATAGGAGACAAAGCCATCAAATGACTTATAGAGGGCGAGGGCAGCCCACCCGTAACAATATAGGGGCTTAACGAATAGGTGCCGAAGCTCGTTCGGCTGGCACTAAAAGCTTGATTGTTTCGGGCTAATTCTTCATTGTTGCGTGAACAGATGTATCGCTAGAGGACGCTAGTCTAGAGCACAAGTAAGGAATCTAGCGATTGAAGAAGCGATATAATCTTAAGAAATAAGAGATGTATGAAATGTATGTTAAGGATCAATAAAGCATGAGACAAAAAAGTTTCTTGACAGTTTGGTAGCCTTCATTTAACATATGTATATATATGAGAGAGAACCACATGTTTTCAAAATGTATGTCTGTCCACCTCGTACGTTTACGAATCCTAAGATTGTCCGGATTGTACAAAAGCTTTTTGTACGCGGGCTTATCAACGCACATTTTGTCATAGCTCTTAGTCGTACTAAGCTACACTGATGTTATTCGGAAGCACAAGAAGGCAATAAAATCTGAGGAATAACCATATGACTATATACATTTTTCTGCTGGGTCCATTCAAAGATGCGCCCAATACCATCCGAAAATCGTGTAATCAAAACGATTAATAACATGGGTAAAATTTCGATTTGTACTATTGACTATTCATTGTTTAGAACGTTTTTGCAGCCACATTCATCGGGTGCCGTAACTCACGCTCTGTTTTATAGTAATTCTAAATGAGCAATATAAATAAAATCTTGAATATTTTGTGATTAATAATTTATTTAAGTAATGAAATAACAAAGAAATGGTATACAGTGACGAGGTTAAGTTGTTTTGCTTTGTCTGAAAATAATAACACGATGGTAAGCAATATGAATGAGAAATGGCGTAAGTTAGCGCAGTAGCTTACCGCGGCAAAAATAGTACCTTTCAGTTCTGACGTATTGTATATCCCAACTTGCAAACAGATATTACTAGAGCTTTTTTGCTAAAACTGGGTTTCAGACTCGTGATTTCGTTGGGCCAATATTCCGAATCTGCCGTGAATCATCGTGACCTGGATAACTACATTTCTCGAAGCCAGTCAAACGAATTATTCGGCGACCTGATATGAAGACAAATTTAATAAATGCAAATATCTCTAGTATATATAAAAATGCAGAGACATCTAAAACCGTTTAACTGAGCCTTGGGCGATTTCATTAATGAACACGTATTTCTTTTAGGTCGCGTACGAACACTGATGAAGACGAACTTCGTCCTCTGCTCTCTCAGCCATCGCTGATAGGAGGTTAATTCGACTTCGTTAAGCGTCTAACAATGTTGCTTTACTGGCAAGCCTAGTAGCTTGATATACACTGGTATAAACTAATAATTCGGTGACCGTAAGAGGCTCACCTTGGCGGTTGGAAGCCCCTTAAACAGAGGGCTTCGTAACTCAACTGCTGGCAACGGGCGGGTTTTAATGGTAGACGTCACGCCAGAAGTATTAGATATTCTTCTGCTCACTTGAAACGTAACACACGAAAAACGTGGCTGCTATGCCAAAAATCCGCCTTGCGTTATCGCCCACCGGATTCACAGTTACCCCAACGTTCCTCATCAACGCCATTTACCTGATATTTTACTCGGATTGTTAAAACAGCTTTCATTGTGATTGTTTTAATTCGCAAAGCTGGCTCTATAGAGTATTATTGGACGAACAGAAATCAGAGGACACACTTTATTTTGAGATGAAAGCAAATGATTATTATGTAGTATTTCGGAGTGTAAACGATAGACGAAACTGGGAGCCCCGTGGTAGCTATAAGGTCACTTTCCACTGGTACAAAAATACGTACGTTTTTCTAGTCGCAGTAAACCGTTTAAACATCGAAATTATCATCAAATTCTGTGAGGGTAACTTCCAATACTATGTAGCGCTAAGGATAGCTACGAGCAGTGCCCTTAACGCCACCTAACCGGCACACCTAACAACATTGCTTCTTGTACAATAATATTGTTTGTCAACTGGGTAAAAAGATTCCCCTACAAAAACAGGAAGATAAAACTGTATATTATTTGAAGGTGTTTGTACTTTTGAGTGACCTCCTTCTTTAAAGCGAGCCTTTTAACTTTAAGAGAAACCATATGGCAGCAGGTTTTCAGAACGCCTCGCGCCTCACACTAAAGGTACTCGAGATTGTCTTGCTGAAGCTCGTATAGCCCTGAGTAAACGCTACTGCGTAATGATACGATATCAACTGATAAAAATATCGCAAACACCCGATTGACAGTTCTGCTATGTGTACATCCAACACGAAATCCCACAGCAACAAGTAAAGTAGACCCAGTAGGTCGGTACGATTGGCACCTGTAGGCTTGCATCTGTCCTAGTAATCATTGTCACACCACCGCTTTTTTCGTTGGTAAGACCCTCAGGGAACAATATGCACTGATGTTAGGTTGATTTTTCGCCGATCTACAATACCCTGAGATCAACCTTTTTGTATCTCACAAAGCCATTACTCAAGCTGCACTATCATACGCATAGTAACTAGCAACAGCCACTGGCAAACGTGACTTGGTTCGGATTCTCTTTCTGGACAATACAAAGTCGTGCTTGCATGTAATGACTGTCTGCGTTCCTCTAGCACTTCACCGTAGTCTCACCTCATTCCGCACTCGCGTTTGGGGACGGCCACTGACGGAACAGAGATTTAGTCTGGTCATTTTTGTCGTCCGGGGGCTCCATTGAAGTCAGGAATCTCCCTACAGAGGTTGTTCTCAGGGTATGACAAGTGTAAACAGCGGCCATGTGGCAGGTCGGGGCGAGAGGGAGGAGCTGAGACTGGAAAAAGTATGTGCCAAGGCCCCTCCAATTTACTGGGTGTCTCTTGGGGTTAGCCTAGGTAGGGAAATACGGAGGTGGCGAGATAGAAACGTACAACACGGAAATGCTAATATTATTTACTAAAAAAAGGGGACCTTTAATAGAGGACAGCGAAATTTAATGATGGATGTACTTTTTTCAAGTTACACAAGCAAACAAGTTAACATCCATTCCAACAAACAAGCGTTGAATAAAGCTGCGTTTACAAAATAGCAAGGATGCCTAACTAGTTCGAATCCTTTAGAATAGTGAACACACGTATAGCTACAAAGAATATGTGGACAAACACTGAGAAGAGCCTTGCCCCAGGCAAATTCTACACTTTCTTGCCAAAACCTTAAGTTCCTAAAAAAGAAATTCCTCAAAAGGCAACTCTATAGACGTATCTGGCGACGAGCAGTTGATACAAGAGTTTTTGGCACAAAAACAGCTTCGCAGCTGGGTCCATTATGGTTTCTTATCAATCTATATCCTATATATAATTTATTCAGGTTATCTTGTCAGTTATGACCGAAACAGTTGCTGCGTTTAGTTACCCTATATTGAATTGGATTTTTAGTAAAAAAGCGGATCCCTCAAGGTACCTTTGGGCCGCCTGAGGACCTGTTCATATTCACCTGACGTTTACACAAACACACTGGATCGAACTGTAACTTCGTAAAAAGCAACGAGACAAAATTTATAAGGGCTGAAACGCGTACTATTAAGCCAAACTGGTTGTCCTGAAAGCCTTTCGCTACTCTAGAAGGAAGTCAGCCTGGACGTTGAGTGACCCTGAATGGTAATTTAAGCTATAACACAGCATCTGAGAACGTATTTGAGTCCTAATAGATAAATTAAATAGTGGAAATGTTTATTGAACTCTATATATCAGACAAAAATAAAGTGCCAGTATTCTGTTTCGATATGACTTTGGGGAAATATGGACTGTACCAGATAGTGATTGCGAAGAAGACATTGAGACGAATTGCTTACGTCTAGGTAGTAAAATTATTTGAAATAAGCTCGGCGGGTGCCAAATTGATTGATTCCTCATGTGGTCTGTACTAAGCATATATACCAAGTATAAGCAGAGAGGTATACACTCTCTGCTTATGCTTAGTACAATAAAAGAGGTTTTTTTTTTTTATCGTTACAGATAATGCTCAAGCTACTCAGGAGTGTGCAGTTATTGCGTTCTGCTTGATCGTGTACACATCTTTTATTTATATACATTTTAAGATCTGTGGAAGATCTGTGGTATTGTGGAAATTATGTGGGAGTACATTGTTGGATTAAATATTAAAGTCTAAAGAAGACAGTCAGACATTTTGGTTTAAGTATAACTGTTGTAAATGTATTTGGATCTTACCATAGATTTATACACAGCCCCTTTTTTAACGTGCGATTCCAGCAAAAAAATCTTTTTCTAAAAATATGAGCATTTACATCATTCGCTTTAATTTATATGAAAAACAAAGAAACCAGATCAATGGCAAAAGTAAATCAAAACATCCAGTGACAATTCTATGGGCCTGAAATTGACTATTTGAGCCTAAGCACGTTCATTTACCTTTCTGAATATAACAAATCATTTCTTTTAGTCTGGCCTATTATTTGGCAATTTGACGAAAACCTACATTTTCTACGTTAGACCACATCGAGATCTGATTTGCTTATCGTTGCCATTATTACTGATATTGTCGTCACTATCAACAACAGCAGCAGCAGCAGCAGCAGTATCGCCGTAATCAATTAACACTACGATGACCCATGTTGGGTACGAAACGTCATCGGGTTGAAGTCTGGTCGACCTCGCTCATAAGGCACCCCGCTCCAGTCAGCCCAACGGCACTCATGGGCCGCACTATTAGCTGTAGAGCTCGTTGAATATGGAGGTGCGTCCGGACTGCACATGAAGCGATAAACATATCTGAAATAAATAGTAATCAATTGTGTTTATCCTATAAAAATAATTTGCCCTTTCATCATAAACCGAGAAATCTGATCAGAGGTCTGATGCCAACGGTACAGCGATTATGTATCAGAATGAGGCGTGATAGAACGTCTCTGTTAAATGTACTATATAAATATTCGATCAGCTCATAGCACTTGTACTTGAGAGAAACCCGAGGCTGTTCACTCAGGTATGATACTAGAAACACTGTGAACCGTCAGTTAACTAAATTCTCGGACGAAGCTCCAAGTGTCGTACCGGTACATTGAGCATTGGAGTAGAAGCCAACTCGTCCTACATGGCACAGCACTCAAGTTTAATGTAAGGAAAAAAAACACGATACTCGTCTAACAAAGTAAACCATTTAAAGACATCGGTGCCACATGATTTGAAAGAGGATCAAAACAGATGCTAGCTTTTTGTTGCTTCCTGGACAATGAAACTCACTGTTACACCGAGTTGTGACCATCATCTTGAGATTTTTGACGATGGATTTTCTTAATAGGGAAATTATCCAAATCTCAACGTGAGGTCAAAACTGCCTTTCAAGACTTCACCGAGTCTCGAACCCCAGCCTTTCCCAGCGGCGCCATGAATAATTTACAAGTCAAATGGCAGGAAGACATAGATAATAACAGTGCATACTCCGATTACAACTACCAATATATATATATATATATAAATAAAACATTTTATACGTATTGATTCTATATACACGGTACCTTTCTCCAGCAACCTTCTGCATAATGCCTTTCTCGTAATAGTATCGAAGAGATCTGCTTAGCTTATCATAGTTCATAGCAGGGCGATTTTTCTGAACACCCCACCTACGAGCCACCTTTAACATAACATAACAAAACATTAGCTTTTTTTAACACGTTTTTCGCAGCATGCATCAATCTCACGATAAAATCATCTCGGAAATAGCCTCGACAACGAGGCATCGGCAACTAAAAACGCTGTTCGTACTCCAAACGACTTTACTTCACCATCTTCAGTATACTGCAGCAGTACTTCAACTGTATAAGGTAGAATGTGAGGAGTACTACCCGTCCGTTGAAGCGATTTCAATGCTCATTGGATGATTTAGATCATCGAGAGATGATTCGATCGTATGGTACAAAGTTGTTTCCCGACAAAAACTTGACCCTCTAATAACGAGCTCGTGCGAAGTACGTCACTACAGGTAAGCATAATCGTTAGTGTAACACGGATACCGAGTTGATCGTCTTCGAATCTCGTGGCAACAGTGGGGGCGTTCTCGTCTATGCATCCTTTCATAAGTTGCGGCAGGCAACTATCCTTACCTCCTCAGGGTTGGTCAGCTTGAATTCAAGTCCATTACCCGTCCATTGAATACAAGAACCGCATGTCGGACTGCGCAGCAGCGCCGCGAGGAACTGCCACAATTGTAGAGAGCCTCTCCGAGGTGTCGTTGATAACGGATTAGATGATTGTGCAGGGTGTGCAGGTGGAAAGTTGTTACCGCTGCCAGCACTCACCCCATTGTACACGCAATGTCGGCTCGAATTCGCTAGAAGTAAGTTTCCAAGCAGAAAACAGCGTGAGCCTAAACTACTACACCAGTCATCGTCGGCCAACAGTTGAATATCGACAAATTACGCTGTAGTGAACGAATACACGTTTAGCGGACTGACCTAGGTAGTGAGTAGGTCGAAAGGCGAACGCCTTGAAAATAACCGAAGGCGTGTGTCTAATATAAGATGTTAATGAAGAACACTGCGGTTTACAAGAGCACAGATACCGTGTTTTATCATACTTTATTCTATTTTTATAATAACGATTTTTATTTGAATGGTTAGATGCTCATTCTTATCGACAAGGAAACGTAATTATGCGTTTGTAAGAAAACGTATTTGAAACCAACTATGATTGCTTCTTCTGTCAATAGGTTTTTATACACACATTTACCCCAGACGAGATGTTTCACGCCTGAGGCAGGATGGGGCGTGCTATACGGGTGTCCCGCATGCGAACCTGAAAGAAAACAGTTGGACAAGGCACACCGAAAAAATGTCCGTGATCCTGAATTTATTTCACATACAACTGTTAGAAAAACAAATGCAGGTAGCTGTTTGAATGTACTGAGAAAAAATATTTCAGAAAGGAGACCTTAAAAAAGGAAACTCCTTGGTATTTCTGATCGACCGATTATGATGACCCTTATGGCCAATTCAGGTTTCGCATAGTTGGCTACGATGGCTTGTCTATAGTTAGGACAAACAGCATATTGGCTGCATGTCAATATTACGGTCGTGTTGTAATGAGATGTAATAGGCAGTGGTATCAAGAGAGTCCATGGTCTGATTTGAAGCGGTGACTGCACGGTACGCCAATAGGCAGGGCCAATCTGATGCTATATCAAGATGCTAGGAGTGCTCGACAGATCACTTCACTCGAATCACGTATTGTTCTCTATGTTTTTGTGCAAAAGCTAAAATCCTTCAGCATCGGTAGTGTATATGAGCCACAGCCCGTTTGTATCCGTCTGATGGTGTGAAAACTTCGCAAGGCTCCTAATATTTCTGAACGCAACAGGGACACTGAGTTTTTTTTAAGAACGTTTTTCAAGAATCATTGGGCATCTGCGAAAACACCATCATCGACGTAACTAATTAAAATGTCATAATTCTCACTTCGAAAATTAAAGGTAAGCATAATAAAGACCTAACATTAAACTTGTAAATCGGTACACGACGATTTCGTTTGAATAGTCTCTACTATTAAGCTATAATAACTGCTGCTATACTTCTGTTACGTATCAATAACTTCTTGAATAGTATTAGATAGCATTAGCTATACGAATTCATTGGACCTTAAATAGCCCTACTAACAAACCTTTTCCTAAGTACAACAAGGGTCGTTTCTGTCTTGCTTGTCCTGTACATGGAAGGCATCTATGGCAGACTCGGTTTTGTTGAGCTCATAATCGAGTACAACTGAAGCTTCAGTAACACTATTCAATTATTTTCATGTCTTTTTACCAACCCAGCCAGTCCTTCATTGTGCTTACTACGCTAGCATGTGTCGGCCTGAACTTCCCAGTAGCTGTCCAACGACACACAAAAGTGTGACGTTCAGATTGTCGGGCAACTGGTGCTTCAAATTGGCAAAGTGACCCCTATTCGTGGCAACGAAAGCCGTGAAGGGCTTCCCCCTCAGCCAGCGAAAGTCGCGTTCTCATGTCGTTGAGGTAAGGAGTGGGTTGTGTATACAGAAGCGTTGGCTTCCTTTTATCGCGGGATCCGGGTGGATAGAGAGCGGTGCAACTTGATGATGGCGTAGCTGCTATAGCGTTCGGGGTTCACTACAAAGAAATGGCGACCTCTCTGTTTGCGGTTGACACCTAGCCCAAAATGGCGACGCCGATATGGTATCAAATAAGCAGGCCTGTTTTTCAATCATTGTTAGGATTCTTATTGAAGGAAATACATGTTCGAGCTCTAAACGCTTCGCTGAGTGAGTATGTGCTAATGAGCAAACGTGTCGCTGAAATCTGTCCGATCAAAAATATACCGAACTTGGTCTAATACCGAGAAATAGATAAGAAAAACCTATATGCAACTTGACGTTTGTAAGGCACGATTATGTTGCTTATTTCAGTCGCTATAAGCACTACCCTATTATGCTAACTGAGATACTATAATTTATTGTGAATGAAAACAGAAGACGAATTTACCTGTGACTTTCATTCTGTGTTACGTTCATAGGTAAACATTTATCCATTGTAGTATTGTAGACAATTGGCAGAACGACTAAGCGGTTATAGATCTAGCCTTCAGCAGAGTCACTGATTCAGAATCAAATGAACTTCCGTTACGTGAAGTTCAGGCATTCGATATCAGATCGGCCCTGTAACATATTGCCTATGTCGAATGCCGGAAAAGCAGTGATTCCATTAGATATATCTCGAAGAATTAAGCACGATCATTAAAAATTGTTCTGATCATGTACAATTCTTAAAATATCATATATATATATATATATATATATATAATTTATTTCGGAATGTAGAAAAAAGTTTTTCGAGGTAAATCTAATTGTTGGTGTCAGAGGAAAACAATTTTCGCTGTTCAGTTTCTTGCAACACTTCTTAGTGCGTGTTTTGTTTGCTTCTAGGTAGACTTCTAGGCAACCGTTCAGCAAGTTGAGATAATTAGATATTATGTGTAGAAAGACTATTGTGAAAAGTACTATATAGTGTCTCAACATCAAGCGTTGACTTAATATTTGCCACGCGGTTTCCTACTGCGTAGAGCCTGAAGTTTTTTTAGCGCCTAAGTTCCCAGAGGGTACAGTGGTAAATATTCGACTACCTTGGAAGAAATCTACCTTAATGAGAATTTACAGATATATTACAGAGAATACAGATATATATATATATATAGAATTGTACTGTATTTAGTATTACGCGCTATGGTAGCAACTCTAAGATTATAATAAGAAAAATAAGGGGCTTTTTCAAAAAAAAAAAAAAAAAAAAACTAAACAGTGCTGCCTGTAGAGAATGCTTAGGCACCGGTGTCCAACGTTCGATCGTTGTCTAGTTTGTAATCTGTAGCATTACACTCAACGCTTTCGGGTCATTTTTATAGCTTTTACGATAAACAAAGTTTGTTGTGTTACCATATTTGTTAACACTGTATAGGCGTTCTCGTCGTGCTACGGCTAAATTTCTTAACGACAAACTCGCCGTGCCGTAGCTCGAAACAATTGATCTCTTCACTTAGTTAATAAGGTGTTTTGGTCTGCACATTCAATTGTGCACGATTGAAATTAGCGGATTCATAATTACGCCTGACCAATATATACATCTTTCGAGCTTTACGTCCATTAAGTACTGGTTCACATATATCTATATTTGAAGCGATCTTGGAAGTTATATACGGCTGGTCCCAGGTTTTCTTATTACGCGCGTAGGCCTGTCTCCTCGTTGCCTCTTAGGATCATCTGTGCGTTTTGCAGAGTTCGCAAACAGTGCAACGCCTGTTTCCCGCGTTCGTATCCTCTCAAAAGGGGCGTTGTTTTTTGAACTTTTTTAAAAGCGCCGTGGAGCTAAGCCCATAGCTCTATCTTACGAGCGGAGGTGCCGCGCATCTTTAGCAAGCTCATAAACAACGCGATCAGCTGGTTGCTACGACTACCAAGTCACTTATCGAGACAGGCTGGCTGGTATTGGCTTGTCGCTAGATGTTCGTAACTTGCGTCCGAACTTTACGATTTGCCCCAATGATCGGAAGAGTACATTTTCAAGGGGGCGCCTTTGAAGAAAAATATCGAGTTTGAGTATATCTTTGTCGAACAGCCATCTATTATGTATCATTGCGCCTACAGATTCCATGGAGATGTTTAGAGCAACTAGTTACCTTGTTGAATTATAAAAAAAAATTACTAAATAAACATCAACTGCCAGTGTGGTCAGGTGGTCAGCAAATGGTAATTTCTTTATTGCACCAATGTGCAGACGTCAATTAGAGCAAAAAAAGTTCTAGTCATGAATGCCGAACGAAAGAGAGATCGGGTAAACTACCCATAGTTGGCTAGAAACCAGACTCAGGAAGGCTGATCGTTATGTTTGATACAGTAAGCGGTATCTAGTATACACACTTGTAACAGTATGAATCGCATATGGACTCCAATCTAGCAGCTGGAGGCTTTTTTATCAAGTAGCGCTTAAGAGGTATGACACGAACTAACACAGTCAAATATAGAAATGACTATCTATCTAGTAACTGTTTTAAGGGTCCTTGATAAGTACGCTTATGTCTCAGAAGCCAATCAACCAAGTATTTTCTAGATAAAGAGCAATCTAGTCTGAATGGATTAACCTTAGTATAATCTCAGATTTTATTGGGCCGATAGTACTCAAGCTAAATCTCTCGCTTATGGATATAGTTTTTTTTTTTTTTTTCTATTAATTAATAATTAGCAAATTTTCTATATATTTAGCCAAAGGATCGTCTTCTAAGCCAGGCCGGACCTATCACCAATATACAGGTACCTAATACCTAATACCAATATACACTACAGGAAGGTCATTTATAATAAAATTAACTTTGGTTTAGGGGTTCATGTTCTTTAAACTGGGCTGAAAATATTTTTCCGAGCTAGCCATCTAGCGATGTCACTGATCCCTAATCAAATCACTTCACTGCTTGCTTTAAGAGCTATGTTGAAATACGTTAGATATCCCTATCGTTTACAGCGGTACTCACAAGCAGCGCCTTGTAGAACAGTGCACACCAACCAAGTACCAAAACTTCTGCTCTTACTCTTTTGAAAAGCGCTATAATGTGCATTGTTTAATAATAAAAGGAACAATTTTACCCAATGACAAATTAACGCCCTAGCTTGATTAAGCTGACCACTTACACAAAGCAACTTCAAGTTCACTAGCGTTTAGTTTTCACGAAACGATATACTTCGGAGTATCCACTACAAAAGCGTCTCCCCATACGGATTGGGATAGTGGATGAACGGAAATCGGCACGCTTTAGATCGTGACGATCTTATCTATAGTACCGGTGAACTCTTTCATGCTATCTCAAATCTCTTCTAACAAAACTGTCGTTCTAACATACCGAATGAGATGAGTGGCTCTCTAGGTATGAGATCGTGGTCAAGTTCTTCCTGAAAAACATTAAGAGCATTCCTGTAAGTAAAGCAACTGATAAATATATTATAAAGTAGAACCATTGGTTTCGTAATGATCTTACCATGCGGCACATAGCTCACAAGTTCTGAGAAAAAAAGCTTTCATATGAGTAATTAGCTTGTACGATCTGTTTTCTGCGATCGGCAACCATTCATTACGTTTTTCTTAGGCTTGGGGCAGGTCCAAGTTAATTTGGTAACACACGTTCTTTAAAGCTCCCATTTGAACGATGAATAGTGGACACAAGGGCTTAGATGTTCGCTGTATAGAGAAAAATTATTATCACACTGATTTCAAATGCGTTCTTCAAAATAACATCATAAGGAACAATGCTAAAATGGCGTAGGCGTTTATCACTGAACTTCACGAATGCCCAAATAATGATCTGATGACACTTACTTAAAAGTATGCCAACTTATTTTATACATGTTAGAAGCTATGATTTCTCAGATACCCAAACATTTGTGCACCATGCGATCTGCACGCAACAAATATTTGCAATCATTTAGGGTTTTACCCCATATATACATCTGCCTCAGTACAAAAACACACCCTGTCGAAAGATAGCAGACTTACAGTGATATCCAAGTAAAAAACATCTCTCCTAACGGAAATTACTTAAAGCATTATTTATCTTGCGTTTAACTTCAATTGCCATACACGGGGTATTTTCGGATGAATTGGGACAGAATGTATCTCGCCTATTTGTAGACTGCTTTTATACAAAGCAGATATATCTGTATAACATTTATGCCACCTGCAGATCAACAGCTCCTTGACAGACATGTTTATATTTAGTGCAATATCGATTTTCTCTGTCGAAACTTTTCTCTGTTTAGACTGTGCTCGTGTCAAGGTGTCCCTATTTATATTTTTAGATTGTCGTCTTGGGAACTATTAGATTCTCGCTCAGTACTGATCCATGCAAAATAGTCCATCAGATCGAAATCTGGACTGTTTTGGGGGAGGGGGGCGGGGTAAGTTTTTACTCAGAGCTTATTTACATGTTTAGTCAACGAACGCTGCCCTGATTTAGCTGTGCGAATAGGCGCGCGATACCCTGAAAAACGCCTGCTTTTCTACGCAGTCAGTCCATGATTCCACCAAGGTACTCAAAAAAACCGAACGATGCTCTTTAGGTAACGAATACTTCGTTTTGACAAAAGGATAATGACATGATATCTCTTTCATTGGAGACAATACTCAGAACGTGAACGCTGATTGAGAGTGTAGATATGCCCACAATGGGAACATCTTTCGAACAATGGTCAAATCAACGATCGTCGTTACGATTGGTTTTTGCATCCATGGTGGATATCCTCTGCTGAAAAATCAAATACGGTTTAACGGGCCGTGCTTGAGAGCACTTGAAAGAGAACTTTTTTTGCCAAAGCTTTTGCCCGACTTTAGTGGCTCAAAACCTATTATAAGTGCATGGTTTTGTTCCAGAAAAAACCAACTTCATTTCAGTAGCAAAAATAACAAATTAACGCATATCCGCTATGCACAAACAACACCTCAAAATGTGTCTAACTTACCCCCAGCACCCTGTAGACACTCAAACACTTCAACATCGAAAATTCAGTCTTACAGCATTACCGTTACTGCCGTTACGGTACGTTCATTCACCGATAACATGAATATAATCAGCTAGAGCAGTCTTTAATTTAAACAGTAGGCATGTTTACACGGCATAAGTTAATATTAGTTATCCACTAGCTATTTTACTGCTGGAACTACAATCCAGCAGTTTTTCATAAGAAGACATATATCACAGAAGAATTCTATTTATCTCTTGCAAGCAGACAAAAAGTTGAACTCAGGATTTTACCAAGATAAAAACTATGATAAATACACTGTGCCACCAAATTACAAAAGACCTATACTAATTGAGTGCACGGTTCCAATCGATGTTTCACAGCCGTTACCAGCTACTAATAACTCAGTTCACCTACCGGTCGAACACCGCCAGTTATTGTCGTCGAGTCAAACGCATACATAGCGCCAGTACCACCGGCATCGTGAAGGGGCCCTGACGTTGGCGGGATATCGCCTGCAAAGCGCGTCCACACATACGCTGAATTCATGGTTTGATCTAAACCGGTTTCCTCAGGCGATCCTGAGCGCGCGTTGTCTCCTGTTCCGGCTACAGAGCTCTCCGAGCCGCTCGAGCTGGCGTGTCTCCGGATGGTCTACTTCCTCAGACACTTCCTTCCTTGGTTCCGCGAGAACTTCCTGGGGCCAGGCCACGCTGAAGGGCTTCCCGCTACCGGGCCATCGATGAAACAGACCCGCCTCCCTGAAAATGACACGAAGTCGTTGATGGGCGGGGCCCCGGGGTGGAGCCATCTACCACGCTGAGACCAATCACCACCCGAAAAATCAGCACCCAAAGGAAAAAGACACGTCCTTAGGACTAGCTGAATTGCAGCCGACAACTACATGGATCACATCTACAACGTCATAGAATCCCCTGAATTAAACCATTTAATTCCACCCTCCACCCTCTACTGACGTTACGTTGTGTGGCTAAACCATATTATTGATAGTTCTGTGAAGTTCAGACAAAAACGTTTTCTCAGAGTACGTGCTCCTAACTTGTAGACAGCTGCATTTGAAAAAGGTATTTGAATTCGATTCCTCTGTTAGATTTGTCTTTGCGTCGGTTTGCAACAAGTATGCCCCTCAATGGGGCTGTTCTTCGACCGGTTCAAGTTTGTTAGTGCTATATTCTATTATGCCTGTTGCTAACATGAGTTTTAATTTTTCGTGCCCAAAGAAAGCTTGCGTAGGTTCGCAAGCTGAATCAACAGAATTGTGCAGCTATACTCGTAGTAGCTGATCCAACATTCTGAAACGCAAAAGGCTACATTGGCGCTTGGTCACATAGCCACAACGTATAGAGAAATATCCAATAAACGAACCGAAAACGTAGTGGTGATCTAAAAAATCAGGTAGAGGAAGAGGCTTCCATACCTAACAAAACAATAGCCCTTACCTTTGTTAACCTGATTCAAAGCGCAAGGCAGAAGCTAAGAGGCTTTTTAATAAGCGACCCATATAGCCAAAAATGAGGTAAAGCAATTTGTGAAAAAAAAAATCTATGGTTTGTTTCTCAATTTACTTGATTGATAATTCTCGAATGTTGGAAAGATTTCATTAGTGGCCAGAGAACAGATCATTAGACGCTATAATCCTTTCACTTGCTGGTATTACGAGACCTATTTACTAGTAGTTCTATCCCACAATTTATTTTTCATCACTAAAATATGCTTATCTGTTTGTCAGTAGGCAGGTTGTTATATAAAGGCGTATTTTTTAAGGATTTTCTCAGATTTTTACCTTTGGAGATACCAGGATTTTCAGAACCCGAAATTGAACCAGGATCATTTAGCGAGTTCTTTCAGCTTAACGTTCTTCCAACTGAAATGTTTCGGACCCTGCTATCCTAACGGGTAAAAGTCAATCTTATATATATATATATATATATATATATATAAATAGAGATAATAACAATAGACCTAAAACAGAGCAAATAGAGAACGAATGGACAGTTACCATATTTACGAAATATACAATAGTTAATTTTGCTTTGGCAGCGTTGGTCGGACGCGATTCATACTCAGGTAGCTTCATCCTGCATAGCAAATACTACCACTTGCCTTTGTCGAATTTTGTCCCCTAAATATGATGCTTTATTTAATATAATAACTGCTATAATGTCTCGTTTACCGACTCGAGTACATTGAAACATCTGACCGTAATGGCACAGAGAGGCAACTTCCTACGCCTTTAAAAAGCTAAACTATAAATTTAGCTTTTTAAATTTCTTCAGTTTGCCTTCATTACAATAAACTTTTTTCATTCGCAGCTAGAATAGTCATGCAAGCCCAGATTCTTAAGAACAATACCATAGATCAATGAGACAGGATCATCTGTCTGAAAAAAAAGAGGGTTGCTTGCGGATGTCCGACATCTCCTTATATGATAGTAGACTGGGTACTGGTAGGAGGCTTAAGACTCCTAGAAAGTATTTTTCCAGTTACAAATTTGGTGTTTGTTGTGGACGTGGACGAGCAATTACCTTCTCCTGCGGGGCCGACTAAGGTTACTCCTACAAATTTGTGCAGAACCAAACAGAGCATAGCGAGATAATATTATTATATAGTTACGAAATATTATCGAATTGAACGCTACCATACTCACTTGTTCATTTAATAATACATTTAATTATTTGTTGTTTATATATATTGTGACATGTAAGTAACGTTACGCAATCGACAATAGCCTCTGTCTACGCTAATTTTCTAGTCTAACATCGTCGGTATCTCTCGATTGATACATCTCTAAATATTGGGGTAGGTTTCCACCGGCCACCCTACCTCTCTAGGCTGACCTTAACGTCACCTTGCTGGTTAACCTCCATTTTGATTTTCGGTTATTTAAATGTTCTGAATTTTTTTTTCACAACTCGCACTGGCCTCGAATGTGGTTCGATCCCTCAAATAGGGTACAAACTTTAAATGGATTTGATAAGTATTTTCTTTATCAACTACAGATTACAGTGTAAGCATGGTACACTATTTGTTGATGAAATTAATAATTAACTAGAAGCATCCTGTGGACATTTACTGCTCTGAGATAGCGGAAGCATGAAATAATCCTAGTTAGTAACCACTTACCAAAAACTTATCGAAGAGATGTCTTTAGTTTTGAGAACTTCATACTACTGTTCCTACTAGTTGCTGATTGAATGTCCTAAAAAGCAGCAATGAAGCACTCGACGACAAAATAAAGTTTTGCTCTATCTTTGATGAAAAAAGGAAAGTGAGTTCTCTGACAAAGGCAACATTAACATTGGATTACCAAAGCCAGATATCTATGCAGTACAGCGTTAACACGCGTTGTACAGCGTGTTGTTTGCAACAGAGTCGCCGTTGAGATCAATGATGTCGTTCGGTGCTGATCGAATGGCTGCAATCTTATGTGATACTACTAAAGTAACGTGCTTCCTTGTAGTACTGTCTCCCATAATTGCGCCCTCGAACTATGACATTTGTGAAATCCATTAGTGCTGCTTGGTACTCAGTCTAAGCTCAGAGCAGATGCAATAAACTCTTTTGTAACACCGTACAAAATATTTGTCTATATCTCAAAGACTGAAATATGTACCATGGTAAAATGTTGACGCTGCCAACGCGCGTTAATTAGTAGGCCGCATGTTTACATTCACGTACAGCCTAGTAACAACCTAGATGTACGCCCTTAAACTGACGCAGTGACGACTCAAATGTGTTAGAACGTCATCATTTCCTTTTTAAAACCCCTGTTTAGTTCGAGCACGTTTTCTATTTTTAATGTGTGAACAGATTCTCGGAACTACCCCTTCGGTATAACCATAAATATTTGCTACTACTAGAAAATCTAGCCAGAGCGGGTCTCTTTAGGTCCGGTGTCGCTGTTGGGCATCCAGTTAGACGGCTAGCTCGAGTTTAAACCTAAACCACAACATGTCCCTAAGATTAACAGGAAAGCACGTTACCTACTAAATTGTCACGGAGACTGGTAGAATGGGTCTTATTTAACTAATCTGGGGTTTCTTCAACAGACTTATGATATGGCTTATGTTATGGTAACCTTTTGTCAACGCCGAAATTTAAAGTCGTATTAGCCGAACGTTCACGGTTACCATAGCAACGGACTTAAAAAACGCGTAGGCCACTTAGACCTACCAACTTTAGACTTACCAACCAAATTACGCAACAAATATCAATGCTACCGCTAGAATTCCCTTCAAAGATTCATTTTAGTCGTAGATATGAAATTTAAACAGTCTGATTCTAGCTGCAGTTTCTACAAAATTAGATTTTAGAGAAGTTTTTTTTTTTTTAACATGAGTGTTTCTTAGTGTAACTTAAAGTTGCCTCGTGATGATGCAGTGATAACGCATTTCTTGACTAAACTTGGACACATTAGTCTAGGTTCAAAAAGGGTTTAAAAACCCTTCTTTTCGCACTAAAGGTTAGCTTTCAATTACAATGCTTCACGAAGTCACTATCGGACGCGAAGCTTAAAATATTTCCTTAGTATAATCTAAGGAAATAAATCACAACATATACAAGTCGCCTGTATCGTCAATATTACTTGTTGACAGCAGTCTATAATCCAGAGTCTAATTTTTTCGGGGTCGATAGGGTGCGTATGAGTAGACTGTGATAAGGCACCGAATATGGTGTATTCGATTTTGACGGACTATACAAGACGATTTCCATAATATGAAGTTAAACCATGGGTGTTTTGGTCTTTGCTGTATCGAGCTCCCATTGTTGACGTACATTTGTATTTGGTAGTAAAGATATATTACTCTTAATCGCCCGTGAAGCACTACGAAATCATGCTGGGAAATATAGAAGAAAGACTACACATAATGCGTCTGCTTGAAAAAAAGATATTTGCTATGTTTCGAACGTATCGAAATTGTTTAAGAGAATTACACTTTTGCAACTTCATATGTTGCCAAGCTTGCCTTGTTGACTGCAAGCTGTAATGGAAAAAGTACAGTTTTTTTTTTATTTTCGAAAACGAATTTGCACAGTCCGGATTCTAAGACAGTATAGATATCTATTTAAAAAAAAAAGGGAAAAAAAATAAAAATCAGCTCGTTTAAATTTCACAGTTGTCTCCCTTCTTTAAGATTCCCTTGACATCTTTTTGAGCTAAAGAAATTGAGAAGTATATATATGGTGTTACTTAAATGGTAAGGACTGTTTTTAAGCCAATATTGAAACAAGCATTTTCTACGTTTTAAAACTATTTTAAACTAATATACGCCATTTGAACATCGGTCGGGTCGGGTGAGACATCGGTTATCCTTTTGGTAACGTTATAGTTTTATCACTGTAAAACTTACGCGATTCCTGCACTGAAAATTGTGCCAAGTGATTTTTGGACGCATCCGTTGAAAGTGAATTAATACCACCAAAAAAAAAAGAAAAAACGAAATATTTCTACAGAGATCGAAACAGTCTGATGCAGGTGCAAGATCCGGGCAATAGGGCGGATACATGAAAATTTCCTGTTCAAGTTCTCTCAATCTCTACCGGGTGGTCAGAGATGTATGTGGTTTAGCATGGTAGAAGATGACATCTTTTCTGTTCACTAGTTCCGGTCTATGTTTTCTAATTTACTTGTGCTAATCCTGTCAGTTGTTAACTATAGAAGTCCTAGCAGTAACAGGTTATAGTGCACGATACGTTTCCAATCCTATAACATACCTTAATTTATCTTTGTTTGTGGTCCACTTGGCTTTAAAATCGACTTGCTTCCGTTGCGTTTCTAAAACGTTTTGCAGAACGAAAACGATCGAGTAAATAACTGTGGCATTGGGCTCTTTTTTGCAATCAGCTTTGTTTTGTTGTTAACAGCTGTTAAGTGGTAGAACTTCAACCCCTTAGCGATATGGTTCCATAGTTATTCATAGCCATGTCGGTCTTAGCCAACTTTGACAATAATTTTATCAACATTTTTTATATAATCGGGCAGTTACTAAGGAAAGCATCTGTCGTAGAAAAATAGCACAGCCATATCCGATTACGCATCTTACAAATCTTCCAATGAACTTGGCTAACATTTGTGCCTTCTGTATGTGTGTGACCAAATAATCAAGTACGGCTAATTTCATTTTATTTTTCAAATTCTATTTTAGGGCTAAATGAAGGCACTCCACAATGTTAGCACACCTACTGGCAAATTTCAGCTTCCACAGCCTCGACAGGGTTCACTTTACCTTAAATATGTAGCTTTAAAACCACTTAGCTAGCATTTTTTTTTTCTTCTATATACATATGAAAACGTTTCCAAGGTTAGCTACGATAGATTTTGTGGTGTCCTTTTGAAAGAAATTATCCGTGGAAAATTTCTGACTGTATTGTACACGCAGTGTTTCGAGTCTGCATCGTGCCTGTAGTAAACAAACTCTTATAAAGCTCGGCAGAACTGAAAAATCGTAAATAATGATGTTCGTACTAGCGGGCAATTAGTTTTGGTGAAAATAAGAGAAAGCAGTACGATGAGCTGGATCTGTGAATGTACACCAGACAAGCATATCCGATATCGCCAGACGAACAAACTTATAAACTTTGTAGCCGATTTAAGTTTGAAAATATGTCGGTACATTTTTAGGTTGAGGCCAGATGGAGCTATCAGAAGATTTTTATGTTTATAGATATTAAAATGCCAAATGTCTTCTCAGTATACCAACACAATTTTTTTTCAATTGATTTGTAATGATATTAATTAATAATTATATTAATTTCAATACTGGAATTTTGCAGCGAGAAAACAATGAAACAATGAGTTTACAAGAATCTATTCTCATTAATCTATTCTCTATGTCTATGAGCTCTTCCGGAACAGAAATCCTTTTAATATTAAAGCATCTATATACTGGTCACAATGGTACTGCAAGAACTTATTTTGATTACCTATCTATCTATGTATATATATATATATATACACCCATACTTCGCTCGACCTAGCGCATTTCTAACGATCAAAAAACAACGCAGAGGATTTACAATTATAACATTCAACATGATTTCTTTTATCATCGCCATCTGATCGATAGTACCGGTATTGTTAATAGTATGTAATACAATGAAAAAAGAAGCGCGTCTTTTCATTTCGTCTCCGTTTCTGTCCACAATGGCTAAATAGTTTGTGTGTATTGCATATTTGTTATTTCTAGTTACAAATGGTTACCTTCCCACTCTTTTAGTTCCTCCTCGTAAGCAGCTTGCACAGAGTGGACTTAACGAGAACGTTTATACAATACAATCAGATACATAGCACATTCATCGGAGCTCATTTGAGGTCCAATGAGAACTGATGGCACTTTGTGACCAATGCATGTTATCTATCTCAACTCCCTATATCTGTATAGTCATGTATATATAGATTTTATTGTGAAT